ATTATTTATACAGTGTTTTGTCTGCATGTGTGCCTGCAGGCCAGAGGAGGGCACCAGATCTTATTATAGATGGTTGTGAGTCACCATGTGGTTGCTGGAAATTGAACTCAGGACCTCTGGAAGAGCAGCCAGTGCTCTTAGCCGCTGAACCCAGTGTCTTACTTCCTCACTGGGCTATGTGCAGCTTGAGGCAAGAATTGTCTAATTGAGCTCTGACTCCCCAGTTCCCTGCTACGCAGCACCGAGCGCCATTCTTTCCTCCCCTCCATCCACCTGCCTCCTGTCCAGGACAGCCCAGCAATTTTCTTTAGTTCCAAATCTAAAACTTCAAGCAGACATCAACAAAGCCAAGTTCAGGATGCCAGTTCTGAGCACATAATCCTATTGGGAGGTATACTGATGGTGTCTTTTCTATCCATTTCCCAAGACATCGGGCATAAACCAGCCTGGTAGAAAACGTCCATCTTCCTTCAAGGCTGTAGCTTAGTAGCCAGATGCCCATGGCTGTGACCAGCTCAGCCCTTCTTGGAAAGATCCCCTGATGACAAAGCCATACAGGAATGAAAACAGCTGAGGGATGGGAAGCCCATTCTGAAGGGACAGGCTGGAGCAAGGAACCCACACCCGGAACGGGGGCCAGACAATGGTGGTAATAAAGGCGGCCAGGCAGGATGTAACTAGTATTAGCCCTGACAATGTGAAAACTCAAGCTCATAAAAGTTGGGAGGGGAAGGAGCTAGGAAGTGGTGATGAGCTCATTTCCTTTCCTGAAGCCTGAGGTTGCAGGGAGATGCCCTCTGCAGTCCCAACCTGCCAGGGCATAAACCAAACCGCTCAGTGTTTCTCTTTGGAAAACACCGTAGACACCTAAGAGGCAGCACGACTCTCTGGCTTGGTAACTTCCTCATATTTCGATTTCCTTTTGTTCTGTTAAACTGATTTCTCTTTTCCTAAAAAGCACACTGTTACGGGACCCACCTCCATTCCCGCCTGTCGTTTTTTCTAATTATCCATGGTGCAGACTTCTCCACCGGGGCTATCTGGGTGCCAGTCCTGACGACTTCTGGGAGTTCCAGGTTCTGCCACTCAGAAGCTGTGCCTTTGGGCTGCTCCACACACTTTGCCTTTGTGAGCACGAGTGTGCGCTGCTTTTATAAACCAGAGCCTTTTCTTCCCCTTAGAGCGCAGGACCATGTTCACGGCCTCATCTCCTCTCCTGGCCAGTAAAGCCTTTTACAACATTCTTCAATTTTACATTAAAACAAACAAACAAACATGTTTTTTTTGTTTGTTTTTGTGGGTTTTTCTGCGTAACAGCCTTGGCTATCCTAGAACTCACTTTGTGTGCAGGCTGGCCTTGAAATCACAGAAATCCACCTGTCTCGGCCTCACGAGTGCTGGCTGGGCTAAAAGGTGTGCACCACCATGCCCGGCCCTACAAATTTATTTTTTATTTTATGGCTATGGGTATTTTTCTTCTTCTCTCTTTTTTTGTTAAAAACTATTTATCTTTATTCTATACATATTGGTGTTTTGCCCGCATGCCTGTCTGTGTGATGATGGCAGGTCTGGAACTGGAGTTACAGACATTTGTGAGCTGCCATGTGGGTGCTGGGAATTGAATTCAGGTCCTCTGGAAGAACAGCCAGTGTTCTTAACCACAGAGCCATCTCTCCAGGTATTTTTCTTACATGCATATCTGTGCAATACATACATCTAGTGCCTACAGAGGTCAGAGAAGGGATCCCCTGGAACTGGAGTTATAGATGGTTGTGAGCGTCCACGTGGGTGCCGAGTCCTCTGGAAGAGCAGCCAGTACTCTCAACCACCAAGTCTTCTCTCCAGCCCTCGTATGTGCGTGCGTGCACACACGTATGTGTCTCTGAGACAGGGCATCATGTAGCCCAGGTTGGCTGTAGTCTTGTTACACAGCTGGGGGTTGGTCCCGAACCCCTGCTCCACCTCCCCAGTGTTGGGTTTGCACATGTGCACCAGTCTGTCCAGTCTCAGGATTGATTTGCCTTCGAGCCTTGGGTATCTGGTGCCACGACAAGTACAGAAACAGAAAGAGACCCTTAGAGTCAGTCTCCCTCAGGGCCTTGTAGCCAGTGACTGTAAAGTGCAAAAGTCACCTTGGCCTGCATTGCTTTTAGGTGGCTGGAAGGGACTTGTGATGTGCACTGACAGTCTGTAGTGGTCGCTAAGGAGCTAGTGACCTTCAGTCATCAGAGATTCATTAGGGACCTAGGGGGATCAAGTGGCTCTCTCTGTTTCGGGTCCTGGGAACTACTCGGAGCCTTAGCTCCATCTAGTGTCCACATGGGGACACAGCCACCCCTAAGACCTCACCGCAGACCTTCCTTCCCATAACTGCATACCAGCCCACAGTGAAGTCCATTTGGAACAATCCGCCAGTGCTAATATTTGGGATTCCAAATCAAGCGTTGTACAAACCCAGTGTTCTTAGGCATCAGCACACACTGTCCTTAAAGGGACCGATTCCTGTAACAAATAGGAAAAATGACATTGAGTCAGGTGGTGGTGGCGCATGCCTTTAATCCCAGCACTCGGGAGGCAGAGACAGACAGATCTCTGGGAGTTCAAGGCCAGTCTGGTTTACAGAGCAAATTCTAGGACAGGCTCCAAAGCTACACAGAGAAACCCTGTCTTGGAAAAAGAAAGAAAGAAAGAAAGAAAGAAAGAAAGAAAGAAAGACGGAAGGAAGGAAGGAAAGAAAGAGAGACGGAAGGAAGGAAGGAAAGAAAGAGAGACGGAAGGAAGGAAAGAAAGAGAGACGGAAGGAAGGAAAGAAAGAAAGACAGCCAGAGGGACATGACTGTCAGGCAAGGAAGTGCATGACTTTAATTCCAGTGCTGGAGACAGGCAAAGGCAGATCTCTGTGAACTCTAGGCCAGCTTGGGCTGCACAGTTAGACTCTGTCTCTACAAGAAGCTGACACTCTGAGAGATTACTCCTAAGTTCTTGAATTGTGTGTGTTCATTCCATGCACACCAGTGTCAGAAATGGTGGTGTTTGTTTCATTTTAGAGGTACAGAGAGATGAAATAAAATCTGTCACTCTGAGGGAATGTGGCCCCGTTAGGATGCCCATGTCCCGATGGCTGTCCCTACACACCTGTGCAGGTAACGACAGCACCTACTGGACTCCCTGAGCTATGAAAAGAGGAAATGACGTTAGGAGGGAGAGGTGGTGGTGGGGTCTGAGAGGAGCTGAAAGGGAAGCGGGGTGTTATATAAGCAATATACGATGTATACATGTACGAAATTCTCAAACCCTTCTGCTGAGTGTAGACAGAGGCTGCTGGGTGAGGCAGGAAGTGAGAAGGAGTTCTGAGTGGTTCAGATTGAGGAGTGGAGAGAATGGTTGGTGCCGCAGCTTGGGCACAGGAGTGCCAGCTGTGACCAGAGAGAGAGGGGGCTCAGCAGCTGGGAGGTCCTGACAGACCCCTGACTATACACCAGGCGCCAGGCATGGGGATGCGCACAGCCACGACCCCTGCTCTCCAGGACTCAGAACTTTGAGGGAAGGTGGGTACGGAAGGCAGGTAAGGTGCTTTCTCACACACAGATTTCCAACGGTCAAGCAGCAGAAAGATGGGACAGTATGAGGAAGAGCCGAGAGGACAGGTAAGGGGGGGTGGGGGTGGGGGTGGAGGAGAGGATAAGGGGTGAGGGCCATCAGCTTGGAGGAAGTGGATCAGGGAGCCTGGGGCAGTGGTGAGGGTCATACAGGTGACTTAGGACCTAAGTGTAGAACAAGGCAGAGGCGGCGGATCTCTGTGAGTTCGAGGCCAGCCTGATCTACAAGAGCTAGTTCCAGGACAGGCTCCAAAGCTACAGGGAAACCCTGTATCGAAAACAAAGAAACAAACACCTAAAACAAAAAGGACAAGGAAAGGTTTACTGGAGCTAGAGAGGGTTTAAGGAAAGGGGTCGGTCCAGCAGGACAGGAGCTAACCTGAGGAGGCTGAGGGGGTTTGAAGCCAGGTGTGGGAGGCGATGGCTGGGTTGAGCTGCCTTCGTGGAAAGGAAGGAGACAGCCTGTGGTCTGAGGAGAAGTGGGGCTTGAAGAAAGGTTTTCTATTTTAGGAAGGAGACTGAGGTAGATGCACAGGCTGAGGGTGGGGGCAGTTCTTGGAGGAAGAGCAGAGAAATGACACATGAAAAATGAAACCCAGGTTAGGGGGAGGCACGAGTGGGGGAGGGGAGACAAGGCAGTGAGAGAGTTGGGCAGGCTGAGGGGAGAAAGGATGAAACAGGGAACAGAAGAGGAAGGAGAGCTGGTGCTGACTGCATGGGGAGGGGGGATGGACGAGAGAGAAGGCTCTGAGGAGAGCCAAAGATTGGGATAATGGCAGGGTGGGCTTGCTGAGTTTCTGAAGGTCAAAGGCCAGGTGTGGGGACTCAGAGAAAAAGGAGCTTCCTGAGGGCATCCTAGAGGCTGCTAAGCCTGAGGACCAGGTCGGGAGGGAGGGAAAGGGAACCTGAAGAGGCCAAGCATGCTGAGAGAAGGGCGGTGGTCCAAGAACAAGGTGTGTGGGCGGGGGCTGAGATGCAGGGCTCCAGCCCACTGCCCAGAGGTGAGATTTCTGTGGATCTCAGGAGTCACCCTCAGACAGTGCTCAGTGTAGCTGAAGGAGTGTGCCTCCCTGAAGGAGAAGAGGCTTATGACCAGGGCAGAAGGCATCGGGAAGATGATCAAGGTTGGTCCAGGACAGTAGCCGGGTAAGGAGCAGGTGGGGCCTTCGGCGGAGGCAGGAGGAGGCAGAAGACAGCATCCAGGGTGCTCTGTCCCTGTTACCCAGTCTCACAGGGACTGTGCACCTTGTATTTGTAATGAGACAGGGCAGCAGGTGGGTTGGTGAAGGACCCAGCCAATGTTCAGAAATCGGGGAGTGCCAGCCAAGTAGGCAGAGGCAGCCAGCAAAGTTGCCCACCAAGCCGGTGCGCCCAAGGTCGAAGAGAAACACGGAGAGCAGATACAACCATATTGTGCTGCTTTTAATTACGAAAGATGTAAAATGATGCATTATAAAACTTGGAAGCTACTTTATACAAAGTCCAATCTGTCAATATTGCTTAACAAAGGGCCGGGAGTTAGGACATTGGCAGGAAGTCCGATTAGTTGCTGGGATGGCCCCATCCTGGAGCAGTGGAAACGCTGGGAACCATCTGTGTATAAATCACAAGAGCCCTGGAGAGTCCCAACAGGAAATGTCTTCAGATACGTGCACGAGCATGAATACACCACTCTTCAGCTCCAAGGATACAGTAGACTTAGGAGAGGGAGCAGGGCAAAGGAGAACTGATTTGGAGTGGGATCCAAGCATTTCTCCTCATGCTCACATCCTATACCCCACGACCGCCACACTGCTAGAAGAACGAGTATAGCCGTGACCAGGTGAAAACATGGACAGGTAGGGCTGGGGACGCCTGTAGCCACTTCAGTGCCGAGGCCTAGGGCAGCAGCGAGTGTATGCAGGCTTACAAAGCTAGGGTAGGGCGACAAGGTCTCCTGGTGTCCTCAACACCGCCTAGACAGGGTGGGCTCTCCAGTGGTTTAAAGTTTTTCCCACGAGAAGATCGGGTTGGTGGACCTAACAGCAGATTTAATTCAGTGCTACACTGTATTGTCTTTTTTTTTTTTAAACTTTTTATCTATTTCCCCCATAGCCAGTACTATCCCATCAGCTGGAGAATATCCCAGGGGCAGGGTAATTCAGGGTATGGGGTCTTGGGGTCTCCCATTACAAGGCGGTCTTCTCCTGATGTAATAATCCCATGGATAAGGCACGATGCAGAGAGCAGATTGTGCTGGGACCCCCTTCTCTAAACTCTTACATCAGCACCGATCCCTGCCCAAAGCCTGAGATCTGATTTCAGGGACCTCTGAGAGAGGAGCTGGCTTCCGTGGGCACAGTGGGACCTCTGACAGAGGAGTTGGCTTCCGTGGGCACGGTGGGATCTCGAACAGAGGAGCTGGTTTCAGTGCACACGGTGGGACCTCGAACAGAGGAGCTGGCTTCAGTGGGCGTGGTGGGGCCTCTGACAGGAGAGCTGGCTTCAGTGGGCGTGGTGGGGTGCAGGGCAGCTTGAAGAGTGAAAAGCTTCCACTTAAACTAAAGTCGCTCCTCTCTGATCTCAGGCATAAAGCATATGAGAGTTCCACTGTGAACAGGGCTCAGCAGAGGCCAGGGGCATCTTCTGGGGGTGGAGCTGGACAGAGACAGCAGAGCTGGAGCTAAATGGGAACACACAATGCTTGGGTCCTAGAGGAAGGTGGAGTACGGCACCATCAGGGCTGTTTGAAGGATCATGGAGAAGGCCTAAGAGAAGATGCTGACGAGATGCAGGGAGGTGTGGGAGCCAGAGTCCTGTGCACAGGCTCTGCTCGCCACAGGCACAGATGTGCTGGCTTTCTTCTACTTCATCCTTGCTGGCCTGGGTGGAAAGGCAATGAGCCTGGGCTATGCCGGCCTTCAGGGAGGGTAGCAGCTGTCTGAGCAAAGACTCTTCTTTAGCCCTGCCCCCGTCATCTCTTCCCCTGAAGGCTACATGGGCACCACCACTTCCCCACTCAGGGTTAGGAGGCAGTAGTGGTGGAATCTGGTCAGATTATTGGGCGATAAGGTGTTAATGCATCACGAAAGTCCCATGAATCCAGTCTCATTTACTATGCACCTCTATTTTAGGCAATTTAGAATGAAAAGCATGGGTCTGAGTAGAAAGGTTCTACACTGGGGGCCTAGTGAAGATCCTGGGTGTCCCACACTTAGGGGCTCTGGTGTGCCCAGCCATTCTGGATGATTCCCGCCTAGCTGCTGAGGGATGTGATCCCGAGGAGGATGGCTGCTGCGCCTAGTGACGGAGCTGGTCATCCAGTGTGGTAAGGCATATCCAAGTGAGTGTGAGCTGAAGGCACCAGTGAGAGAAGGCTGAAGCTCTGAGCTCAAGCAGGGACTAGCGACAGCTACAGGTCAGTCCGCCCTACCGCGGGCGGCGTATCTAGTCAATCATCCACGACCGGGTGCCACACCCAGTCACACAGCCCTCAGTCCCGTCAGGCACTAGGGGTTCAGTAAGGAACAAGGCACAGCTCCTGCCCTCATGGAGCTTACAGTCTAGTAGGATTGCATTACACAGAGAGAGCTGGGGAGGGAAGGGGCCGTTCAGCTGCTACGCACTGACAGGAGTCCCAGCAGCTCTGCCCAGTGGGGCTTCAGGGTGGCCGGCCTAAGATGCAGAACACCTTGTGCAGGGGACATGCCCACCGCCTCCTAAAAGGAGCACTGCCCTCTTTAGGCTCATCCTGGTTCCAGGGACTCTTTTCACTCCCTCTTCTCCTGTGCACGCACAGGGAAGCAGCAGCAAAGAGGTACCGGACTGGGAGGGAGCAAGCTGAGCTGGGCCTGCTAACAACAGCCTGCCCTGGGACGGGTGGGTAGGCGTCGTCCTCTTCATTACACCACCTGGCAGAGCAATGGCCCAGAATATCCACCAGCCGGAGGGTGCCTGGCCTTGGCGGCCAGACAGAAAGGCATCATGGTGCTCCGGTACCGTTGTGTGGTGCTGAACCAACTCCACGGGCCTGTGGCCCCTCTTAGGTGCTGACTGGGATGTGCGGGTCGGAGCTCTGGTGGTGCTACGGAAGCACCTGTCCCACAGCACTTTCTATGTTTACACGCTGACTAGACGCCAGCAAAGAATGAAGGGTGACACGGTGACCTCAGTCATCAGAAGCTCCACAGCAGCCGGCCTGTGGCAGTACAACGGTGCCACAGGCCGGAGAGGCAGGATGCAGCTGTGCCTAGAAAAGCCATGACCTCTGAGCTAGGACTTCAGGGGAGAGCCTGGGACAGATGGCTGATGTCGGGATGTCTGCTGGCTCCATTTTTGGCTCTGCTCTGACTATTTCAGTCCCCCTGCTCCACCGTGTTCTACTCAGAGCCGGTCAGCTCGAAATGTCTCCTCCACAGAGGGGTCCAGCAGGCCCATGCTGGAGTCACTTAACATGTTGAGTCCGTCCAGGCTCAAGGGTTCGATCTGTAGCTCCTCTTCCAATGGAAACGGAGTGTCCATGTCCAGGCCGACCTCAGGCATGCCCGACAGCCCCCCACTAAGGCCTTTGAACAGGTTGGTGCTTGGATCTTCTGAAAGGAGCAGAGAGGAGATTCAGTGACAGGAGAACTAAAGAGTGACAATCCCCAGCATTCTATCCTGTCATCTTCCCAGACAGGCCAGGCAGGACGGCGAGCACCCATGCACTGACCACTCCCAGGCCCACAGCTCTTCCCCTGGAATCGACGTTTGTTTTTTTTTTTTTTTTTTTTTTTTAGCCAGGGTCTCATTCTGTATGTAGCCTAAGTAGGCTTCAAAATTAAGGGAATCCCTGTCTCAGCTCCCCAAGGGCTTGAATCTCAAATATACATTGCCATGTCTAACTAAATCTTTGAATGTTTGTAGTTTCCCGCTTTTAGATGGTTCTTGGTCACCGCAGACTAAGTATTTTCAGAAACGTGTTGGCCACCAGGCCCTGTCCTCACTGCCTGCCTCCGTCTCTTCGTCAGACCGAGGCAGGGGTCTGTTTCATTTATAGACTGTGATATGATTTAGACCTCTCCCAGAGGCAAACACACTGTGGACCGAGACCAACAGCGGCGCTGAGGGGTGGCCTACACTCACCTGTCAGGATGGCGTCTGGGAAGTTTCCACAGTTGGAATACGGGTTTGGTCTCAAAGGAAACGAGTCCTGTGGTTCCCGGTGGCTCTGCTGCACCAAAGGCACCTGGGAGCAACAAAAGCCACAGTGGGCATGCAGCTCTGCTTCTGAGGTGTGTGTGAACAAGGGCTGTGTGTCCTCAGACTGTTCCACAGCCCCTTCTGCCTAGGATCCCGGAGGGCTCTGCTGTGTGATGACACAGGAGGAACACTGCCTGGGTACCACAGTGTGGGTAGCTTTCCTCTGCCCATACACTGCCTGCTACACGACCCCAAGAGACATAAGTGGCCACAGTTAGAGACTCCCTTTGGGTCTCTGATATGCCTGCTCCTCAGCCCATCAGAGAGGTCCCTCTGTGCTCAGGGAAACAGTGGGTTCTCTGGCTTCTGGGAAGTGAGAGAGTGGGAATCTTCCCTTCACCCTTGGCCAGCACCTCTCAAGCACAGAGACTTGGAGGCCTACTTAGAAATGGGGTCTGATTTAGGAATTTTTGCTGAAATTAATTTTTTAGGCCATTTAAAAAAATGTCTTAAAAGAAAGATCTCCAACACTTTTGAGGGAAGTGCTGGTCCTCACCTAGTCTGAAAGGGCTCTTTACTCTTTAGAAAGCCGTGAAGAGGTGCAGCTCGGTGCCAGAGGGCTTGCCTGGCATGTCTGCCTCTCATTATGTGAGACCCTGGGTCGGACGGCAAGCAGGACAAAACACAAAACAATAACAGCAAGAAAGCTCAGAGTGAGTACTGCTCGCTCTTGCCACTTGGCTATAGTATCTTTACCTGTGCTACTATTATTAAGTTCTAAAGGTGTGTTAAAACACCCCTTCACTTTTTTTCTTTCTTTTGAGATAGGGTTTCTCTGTGTAACAGCCCTAGATGTCCTGGAACTAGCTCCTGTGGACCAGGCTGGCCTCAGACTCACAAAGATCGCCTGCCTCTGTTGGGATTAAAGGTGTGCACCACCACCAGCACCCGGCCCTCCCTTCACTTTTTAAAATCCATTCTGAAGCCTGATCCATCCTTACCAAACACTATTATAAACACAAAAGCGAAAAAAAGTGGCTGAATGGAAATGCTCTGTGGAAGGATTTCCCATCCCAGTCCTGGGCTGAGCGCTCCTGCAGGCCGCGTGCTGAGCCGGGCAGGGCACCAGGCCTGCAGGCAGTGTTACACCACTTTCTAACTCTGCTGCTACGGCCACATGTTGTCCCTCTTATCCTTCAGATTCGCCAACACAGGGGACTGGCCAGCTGTCTGCTATGGTCCCTGTGTGTGTGCACGTGCAGAAACAACTTTGGGTGCTAGTCCACAGATGCCATCCACCTTCTCAGTTTAAGACAGGCCTCTCACTGGCCTGGAACTCATCAGCTAAGCTTGGTCAGCCCTAGGGATCCATCTGTCCCTTGCCGTCCCAGCGATGGGATTACGAGTGTGCACAGTTGTACCTAGGATTTCTTAATCTTTTATTTTTTGTTTCTAAAAGATTTATTTTTATGTGTTTAAGTGTTTGCCTACCTATATTTTGTGCACCACATGCCTGCCTGGTTCCTGAGGAGGCCAGAAGAGGCTATCAGATGCCCTGTAACTGGAGTTATAGATGGTTGTAAGCTGTTATGTGGGTTCTGGGAACCAAACCTGGGTTCTCTATAAGAGCAGCAAGTGCTCTTATCTGTTGAGCCATTTCTCCAGCCCCCACTCCTTCTTTTTGAAGGGGTCTCATTATGTAGCCCTGGCTGGTCTGGAACTTTGTGTACGTAGGTACAAAACCGACCATAAACTCACAGTGGTCTGCCTCTCTTTGCGTCCCAAGTGCGAGGATTAACAGTGCACACCGATACACCTGGTGCTACTTCCTTCTTAAATGTAGGTTTCTGCGATGGAGCTCAAGTCCTTGTGCTTTACTGACTAAACGGCCTCCCCAGCTCTATGACGAGAGTGTTGTCAAAATCCACCACTGTTCAAACATTGCCTCTGCTGAGCCCTGACCCCCTCCCAAGGTCTGTAAGGCAAAAGGCAGCCGCAGTGGCACTGGATAAGAGGGAGGCTGTGAGGCTCTCCTGGCACGGAACACACCTGAAACAGAGGGGAGGCCTCATCTCTTAGGCTGAAGGGGTCGGCACACAGAACAACCTCAGAAAAGGTGGGGCAGGAACGGCCACCTACCTGTTGAGGAAAGGCAGGGCTGGGTCTCATGGGCTGTTGGTCAAAGCCCACATCTGGAAAGAAGTTGGTCAGAGATGAGTCCTGTGGGAAATAAGAAGGGAACTATTTATTGCCAGAATTCAGAGTGAAATAGGGCTCCCCACCTCCCACACCCCACGGGGACTAACCTGGGCAGTGAGGAGCTGGAAGTCTGACTGTGGCAGGGAGGGGGCTGCCTGAGGCTGAGGAGCAGGGGGCTCCTGGGCATGGGGCTGCTGCAGGAGGGGTTGAGGCATCTCCTGGGATGTGGGGTAAGGGGGCGGTGGGGACAGTTGGGCTTGAGCTTCTGTGGGCAGGAAGGAAAGGCTTTGCTCTGAGGACACCATCTGTGAAATAAAGCAAGTGACTTGTCAGCTTCCAAGTGATAAAGGTCCTTAGGATTGGGAGCAGGGTTAGAGGGGAGCCTGAATATCTCCCTGCCACACTGAGATGCCTAGCCTCTGCCCTCTGTCTCCCCGCTACGCTGAGATGCCCGGCGTCTGCCCTCCGTCCCCCTGCCACGCTGAGATGCCTGGCTCTGCCCTCCATCTCCCTGCCACGCTGAGATGCTCGGCCTCTGCTCCTTCAAAGCACATCTCAGGTTCATACCTGTGAAAGCATTCCTCTCAATGACATTTCTATTGTTTAAATAAGCAAGAATATAGCTGATTTCCTCTGTTTTCTCAGTGAAAATAATGTCTTGCTTGTTAAAACCATGACTGCTGGAGAGATGGGAGACTGAAGAAGGTACTTATCTGTGCTACCATCCTAAACTCTACTAACGCAAGACACCAGCTCAACACTAACAGCAGTGAACATCAGCAAACAACACTACAACCATGAACTCCACTCAAGGGAGGAGAAAGATAACAGGAGAAAAGAAAATGGCAACACAGTCTGATCTGTGAAACAGCAGAACCGAGAAGGCCATGTGTTGTCATCTGGTTCAAGTGGCCCAATTCCTAAAGAGATCCAGGCTTGGGGACAGCAGGGATCAGGGTTGATGTTAACCCAGGGCGGTGATCAAGAATTTCTGTGCTGGGCACCTAGCTGCCTTCCCTGATGATAGCTGGGGAGTGGAAGCCGACCCTGGAGGGACCAGAGGAGAGGTCTCTGCAAGCCACAAGTTGAGCTATCCACCTCCGTCTTGGCCCAGAGGCTGCTATCCAGACACAAGCCCAAGTATCCAACAGTATAGTATCGCTCAGGGACTCTGAACCAGCCGGAGACTTCTCTAAACACCAGTGCTAGAAGAAGCTCACCACAGAAAAGAGAGACGGTTCTGTCACAAAGTCTCTGCCTCAGCAAGCCCCCAGTCTCAGAGCTGCCTGTCAGTAATTGAGTGTCTTGCTTTTGAAAGCGAAGGAAGAACCAGGGACTGTCAGACTGTCTCATCCCCAGGTGAGCAGACACCCAGCATCAATCAGAACCGGGGACTGTCAGACTGTCTCATCCCCAGGGGAGCAGAGATCCCAGCATCAATCAGAACTGGGGACTGTCAGACTGTCTCATCCCCAGGGGAGCAGAGAGCCCAGCATCACCTTCAGATCCCAAACAGACACAGACTGGAAACATGGGAGGAAGAAGTGAGGATCCACATTTACTATTGTAACATGAAGGCCATTTTAAAGAGGCTAACCTTAGGCTGGTGTGGTGGCGCACACCTCTAAGTTCACCACGTGGGAGGCAGAGGCAGGCAGATCTGAGGCCAGACTGGTCTCCAGAGTGATTTTAGGACAGCCAGGGCTATACAGAGAAACCCTATCTCAAAAAACCAAAAATAAACAAATATAAGAAGAAAAAAACAAATAAATGAGAGGTGAGAGAAAAAATCTAGACATCAGAGGAAATTTTCATGATGTCCAACATTTGTACAACAGGAATTCAGAGGGAATGGAGAAAAATCAAGGGAAGTATCACTGAAGAAATAATTAAAATTTCTAGAGACAACAGACATAAGTTTCTAGACACAAGCAACTCAACAACCCTCCAGACGCATTCCGAGCCCCGTTATCATTACAGTTTCACAGTTCTGGAGGAAAGCAGGACTATCCTAGACGACTCCAGAGTATGGAAGGAGGTCCCATCCCAAGTCTTAGCCATACGGCCGGATTAGGTCCAGTAATACCTCTAAAGGACCAGGCAGAAATATCTTAATCTCGCCAACCACTAACCAAATGCAGAACAAAGGCATCTTCCAGTCATGCTAAGGCTCCTGTGCCCCCTCCCCAACCCTCACCGCCCCTCAGGCTTGTGGAGGATCTGCTTTGAAATGTGTTAAGATTATTCCAATACCAGAGTTTGGGCCTGAATTAGCGACACACAGCTGGAAAGCCAGACCAAGAAAGACAGAGAGCAGGACATCAACGTCTGGGAGCAAAGCACACGCCCACTCTGTTATTTCACCATGTGCTATGGGGCCAAGCCTAACTACATCACAGTAGCTATAGAAACGCAAACACACGTGCTGCTCTGAGATTATAATGGATGAACAGACCGAGAAAGAGGGGGTGTGTGAGAGCGGGGCTGTGGGGGGCAGAAGGAAAGCCGCATCCCCATCCTGGACGGCAGGACGCCATTAGTAGTGCTCAACAGCCGACATCTAGAGGAAAAGAAGCACGAAGTAACGTGTTTATACCAAAGAGATTAGCAAAAATGGTCGGAAACGGCCAAGCCCAGGCAGTGAAAACTGTGGTTAATGGGTAGGGGAGACAGGCCCTTCAGAACTATTTGCCTTTTGAAACTACATACATGAGTGAGACTTTTTTAAACCTTAACATTAAACAAATAATAATACAAATATTAGAGTCAATGTTCTCTACCCTTAAAGTGTAGCAAAAAATCAAGAACACTTTAATAGCTCGTAAAAGAATCTCACAAAGCAAAACTAAAAGGAATTAAATAACTTTTTTTTGGTGGGGGCAGTTTGAGACAGGGTTTCTCTGTGTAGCACTGCCTGTCCTGGAGCTCATTTTGTAGACCAGGCTGGTCTTGAACTCACAGAGATTCACCTGCCTCTGCCTCCCTAGTACTGGGATTAAAGGTGTGTGCTACCACCACCTGGCAATCCAATAACATTTTTAAAAATTTAAAAATTTTAAAAAATTTCCCTAGGGGGTGGGGGGTGACATGTGTGAGGAGGGAATGAGAGTGGGGTGGCCGCGTGGAATGAGAAAAGATTAGAAAAGATTATATTAAAAAAAATTCCCCAATGCCATCTCATCTTCCCCGGAAGAAATGGCTCACGATGTTAGCATCCAGCAGCAGTGACTGGCGGAGTGACTAACACCTGATCACGCAGCTTCTCCCGGATCTACCAAGGCTCGTTGCTAACCATTACTCAGTTTCATGCAGCAGGGAGCAGTCAATGATGCTATAATGGATCCAGGGTGTGGCAAATGGGTCAAAAACATATTTACCAGTGATTATGGTAAGGAGTAACGCCCTAGGAACTTAGAATAAAAACAAAGTCTGAAAGTCCACAGAGACATTCCTCCACTCTAATGGCTGTGACTCCCAACTGCGCCTCTCTCTCGAGTGCCGTCACCCTTGTCATAGATGGTATTTAACCAGAGTGTTGTTCTCGGGTGGGCAGTAGAATGAGGGAAGAGGGTTAAACCACTACTGAAGTGTCAGGACACCGAGTGGTTTTTCGGGCTTTTCTCTGTGCCTTACTGTAGTTACTGGATCAATGGCTGATTTTCTGTGTACAGTTTGAGATTCTAACCTGGTTTCCCTGGATTGCCTTTCACTTTCCACACCTCACCCCTTCTCCAGCCTCGACTTCAGGGGTTAATGACTACAAATTGTTTAATATTTGCTTAAGGGCAATAAACATCCAAAGTTGGAGATGAGAACATCATGGATGGGTGCCGGCTCACGCACACACCTCTGCTCCCTCACTTCAGGAATAAGATGGGGTGGGTGCATGTGCAATCGCGGGCTGTGCAGTGGAATAACAATGGCCAGAGAAGGAGAAACCATCTACAGCTCAGCCTGTTGAAGGTAGGGGGTTCAAAAGTCTTCTTCACCTGGGAGGCAGGATAGGGGTTCAGTGGGCTGGTAGAAGAAAGCTGTCTGCCGAAACCTTGATGTGCTTCCGGGCCAGGAGAGAGCGTGAGAGGACTGACTGGTGGCTGCCTTCGCCGAGAAGGGCCGCTCATGTTTGTGGTGGAAAGCGAGGGGTTGCTGAGGGAGAAGAGTCGGAGCGAGGGGTGAAGAGTGGACGCATTGGCTGCAGATGTCTGTGGGTGGTTATTGAGGGATGAGGACAGCGTCATCTTATTGAGTGTGGCTTGAATGGAAGGATTGCTTCGAGAACTCTGCAGACCTGCAACAAACAAATTTACAAGTTTCTTGTTATGACTTAAGACAAAGCTTTTGTTTTCAGATCTAAGAGTAAAGCAAACTTCTGACTAGCTATGTGTGTGCGGAAGCTCCTGAGCAGCTCTCCTGCTGAAAATGTCTCGGGTGTACCAATGACAGGGCAAGGAAACACCATGTATAGAGAGATGCTGCCAAGCCCCCAGCTTGAGTGAGAACAGAACTACTGCTTCCGAAGAAGAACAGACTGAGAAAACCCTGGGGAAGCTGGAGCAGGCGAGGAGTGCTGAGGAGCCTCAGGCTACACAACCCTCCGTTCACAGCCCCCAGAGCATCTGCCCCGTGGCACAGCCTGGACCTCTGTGGCCCCTGCAGAGCAGGCCTCCATACCCGCTTCCCACCTCTCAGCCTGGACCTCTGTGGCCCCTGCAGAGCAGGCCTCCATACCTCCATCTCTCAGCCGTACAGCTCCTTGTTCTTCAGTTCTGGCCTCTTTATAAGCTATCAACAGTGTTTGCAAAGTCAAGGGAAAGCAGTTTCTGATAGTTTCTTTTACTCTGAGGTGAAGGGGGGATGAATCTTAGCATGAGCAAGACTGTTTGGGAATGGGGTCTCCATGGTACAGAGAAGAACTAAGAGAGGAGTACCTAGAAGCTGGGACCCCGTCCTATGCCCTATTGGACCCTGGCACTCAGCTCAAGCCCAGACGGAACAGCTCCATTCTATGAACAAGGAAGCTGCTGCTGCTGCTGCATGTATTTCAACAGGCCAGAGCCATGTTGGGAAGCAGAAATGTGTTTGTATTGATAAAAAATTTGTTTGTGGGGGTCAGGAGGGCTCATTGGCAGAACACTCGCCGGGAATTCTTGAGGTCCTGGGTGAACTCTCTAGTACCATAAGCAAAACCAAACAAAACAGAAGCAGAAACAAGTAAGAACAGCACCCTGAAATCCCAGTCCTCCGGGGGCTAAGGCAGGAGGACTTGCTAGCTGGAGGTCAGCCAGGGCCACATGAGAATCTCTCAAAACAAAAAACAAAAACCGGGCCAGCCAAATGGCTCAACAGGTAAAGATACCTGGTGCCAAACCTACTGTTCCTTGATTTCCACATGCTTACTGTGCTTGCCTGTGCTCACAATGCACCAAGGAAATATAAAAGAAAAAACTGTTTGATAAAAATTACAGAAATTCTAAGATCAACTATTTTACCTGGCAAAATGATTATGATTTATTTATTTTTTTAATGAAGACAGGACATCTACCGCGTAGGCCAGGCCTGAGTAGAACTTGATTTGTAGCAGGGGATGACCTCCAACTCCTGATTTTCCTGTCTCTACTTCGCAACTGCTTGCAGGTATGGAACCCTATACCTAATACAAAGTTATTAATTTTTAAGCCGGGCGGTGGTGGCGCACGTCTTTAATCCCAGCACTCAGGAGGCAGAGGCAGGCGGATCTCTGTGAGTTCGAGACCAGCCTGGTCTACAAGAGCTAGTTCCAGGACAGGCTCCAAAACCACATAGAAACCTTGTCTCGAAAAATCAAAAAAAAAAGTTATTAATTTTTAAAATGCTTATTCACGTAGTATGTATGAGGTGTATATGACGGAGGAAGGCACACGAGCCGTGGCACAGGTGGGGTCAGAGGATGAGCCGTGGAGTCACTTCTCTCCACCTCGATGTGGGTTCTGGGACTGAACTCGGGGGGTCAGGCTTGGCAACAGGGACTTTTATCCACTGAGACATTTCACTAGCCCATAAAAATGTCTTTAAAGTTAGAAATGATGTTTCTGGCAGAATCCTGGGAGTTATCACCTCTCAGTCAATGAAAACACGAGACCCAGTTAGCTCAAATAGTAGGTAGAGCTAACGGGCTGAATTTAGACTTAAAAAGAAGCCTCCTTCAGAAAGAAGACTTAGATATCTTTCAAAAACATGTGTGCCAGGCATTTGTTTTTTTTTTGTTTTTTTTTTCAAAGAAAAGTAGGATCAGGCTGGCCTGGAACTTGTGATACACCTGCCTTAACTTTTACATGTTATATGATATATACTTCAGTATTTTTATTTTATATGTATGAATGCTTGTCCACATGCATATATGGGCACCATGCACAGGCCTCGTGCTGGTGGAAGCCAGAAGAGGCATCCAATCCCCTGGAACTGGAGTTACGGGTGATTATGAGTCATCATGTGGGAGCTGGGAACTGAACCTGGGTCCTCTGCTAAGAGCAGCCTGTGCTCTGAGACAGAGCCATCTCTGTAGCTTCTGTACCACGCACTTTAAGGTGTGCATGACATTATAAAGCTAGGCACTTGATCTACAGTGTTCAGCATAAAATGCTGCATTTTGAAGAAGGTGGATAGTCAATGACTGAACACGGGGTTTTCAGCAAGAATCAAAGGATAAAGCCTACAGGCGGCAGCTTCCTCAAGACCCCAGGGAGCTGAGGGGATGCTGTTGTGTTACAGGGACCCTGGGCATCACTGCTCACTGAGAATTCGTCTAAAAGGGGACCTGCCCAGGCTGAGTCGAGAACTCTCAAAGGGTTTGAGAGTTTCTGTTGTGAAATAAATCAAAGAAACTCAGAGCTAAGAGACTGGTGTCTTCTTAAAGAGTATCCCAGGGTCTCACAACACCCAGAAACACCCTGCACGCCAGACATGACTTCACAACTCAATTTTGATGGCGAGTTTGTCCATATATAATTTGATTTCTAAAAACTCAAAACTCGCCGGGTGGTGGTGGCGCACGCACGCCTTTAGTCCCAGCACTCAGGAGGCAGAGGCAGATGGATCTCTGTGAGTTCGAGGCCAGCCTGGTCTACAAGAGCTAGCTCCAGGACAGGCTCCAGAGAAACCCTGTCTTGAAAAACCAACAAAACAAAACAACAAAAACCCCAACAACAACCAAAACCCTCAAAACTCAGCCTTAAAAAATAAAAATAAGAGCACCTCCTAAAACAAAAATTAAGGTGGTCTCTGCAGCCAGCTGGGCAAAACTGAACCCATGCTGCTCAGCAGCGGTCCCACAGCACCACTGGACCTGGCAGGGAACCCTATGGGGCCACTCCCAGGGGGGCAGGCTCTGAACCCAGAGTGGAAACCAGAAACCACTTCCTCCACCTACAGACCGTAGGCACCTGAGGAGCCTTCCAAATAGAACATTCTGCAGCAGGCACCTGAACCGGGGCTGTACCACACCACTGACAGAGGAGGGAGAACTGCCTGCTCTGGAAGTGACAGGAGCAGTGCTGCTTCAGCGTGAAATCCACACGGGGTCTGGACAGTGACAGCACGCAAGGAGCATATTACAGCCAGTGCCGCCCTACAGGCACTTCCGAACACTTGGATAGTTTTGAACTATAGATGTCTACTTAATCTACATAAGTACAAGTATTTTCATCATGCCCATTGTAAATTTTCTAAAATTTAAAATATTGTCCTTCAGAGATCCAGTGGGAAACTGGGGAGAGCTAAGGAAACGGATTAAATGATAGAAGATCACCATAGGCTGCTAAGAACTGCTAAGAACGTCCAGTTGGCACAGAGTGGCACCTGTCTCTCTACTCCCAAACACTCCTCCCCAAGCTCTCTGCACACGTGGGCTCGGGAAGACAGTGGAGAGTGAGGAGCATGCAGCAGGACTGCTCTAAGCTGTTGACCACGCAGAGCAGGGACCCCGAGCGGATGCTGACCAGCGCGAAGGAGGCTACACTATGTCTCTGAGACGTGGTCATTTTCACTCAGTGATGCACCAGACAGACACAGCAGGGGACACAGCCACTCCCTTTCCACGTGGGAGTACTTACCGGAGGAGTTCCTTATGCCCAGGTGAGTCATAGCAGCTGGAAGGTTGCCCACGCTGTTCCCCACACTCATGCTACCAAAGAGGTGGTCGCTGGTGTCCAGGGAGGCTGGCAGGGGTGCCGAGTAGTGGAGGTTGGTTAGGTCAGGCAATGACCCTCCGGTGTTCAGGGTCCCCAGGAACGGAGAGAGGCCTATGTTTTGGCCGTTATGTGGGAAAGCACTGAAAGGAGAGAAAGGAGGATTACTTCCTGCCACGTGTTAGGCTGTTGGAAGACGGGGCACAGACGATGCCCTTCCCATCAGAGACTGCAGTCCCTGGAGGCCCTGCCTCTGCCAAGACCACGGCCATCTGCTCGCCCTCGTCGCCTATGCCCACCTTACAGGGTATTCTCCAGATCAGAATAGATTACAAACGCTGCAAATTCTAAATTGCTGTATATAACCCCAGCACTCAGGAGGCAGAGGCAGGTGGATCTCTGTGAGTTTGAGGCCAGCCTGGTCTACAGAGCAAGTTCCAGGACAGCCAGGATTGTCCCACAGAGACATTGTCTCAAAAAACAAAAACAAAAACAAACTATGAGATACTATGTCATATTTAGTCCTTTCCTGTCAGCTGATGCCCATAGCCTGCCACAGGCTCCAGTGGACGTGTGCACGCTTCTGCTTCTACCAGGTAGGGTCTGTGTGTGCTCAGAGTCAAATGGGCGATTATCAGACACACTTATGGTGGTGTTATTGGCTTTCGCCAGTTAGCTAATGGAACTGCCTCAAATACATGAAATAAGTGTACCAAGAGAGATCGGCTGTTTTTATGCAAATGCAGCTGACTTGGGTTTATCTAGAGCAAGCTCCATCTCTCAGTTCTGTGGCCCAGCAGAGAAGGCTCTCAGAAACCGTCAGCAGAAGGGACATTACTTACTTGCCTCCCCCAACATCACAGGATCGCGGGCGTCCAGACAGAGACTGGATCTGGGAAGAGACAAAGAAAGCTGGGCTCATTTGGTGCACAGCCAAATTCAGATGTTTGCAAAGTGGAGTCAGAGCCTCCTCGTTAGAGCCTGTGACAGACAGAGTAGACCAGGGGCATCGTCACAGAGCAGCCATGGAGGTTTGGGGGAGTCTTAAATTTCTCAACTTTCCAGTCAAAAGACAAGTATAATATTAACACACTTTCTGGATTCCTTATTAATGTGTCTTCTAGCTAAATAGTCACTGCCTTCAAAAAGGCAAACTTTTGCACATTCCGATTTTAAATATTTTTTTTTCAGTTGACAAGAGAGAAAAAAAGGAAATTTAAAAAGCAAAACTGCATAAGGAAGGAGGGAATGAATGTCAAGGAAAAAGGACGATCTAATTAAAATGTAAATTGGTGGGGGACAGGGATGGATACTGTGCAGTCACGGGGCTCATGGCTCCAGAGAGCAGCTCCAGGTACTTGGAGGGAGTGGACATCTGCACACCTATTTTCTGTCTTCTACAAGAACCCACTTTCACAGCCAAGAGGACAGAGAGCTGTTTATATATGTGGACTTTAGGCTCCTAAAGATAAAACATCAACTACATATTTTGCTTTTACAAACAAAAAACCAAAACCAAACAAACAAAAAAACCAAAAAAAAAAAAAAAAAACAACCAACAACAACAAAACCCCACCTTTTAAGACCACTATAATGCTAGCAGAAACTTTGGCAGATTTCAGGGAGGAAAAGGAGCAGCACCAATGGGGCCCTGACAGACAGGACAGTTAGGCACAGAGACCAAACAACTAACTACATCTGAGCATCACTAGGGGCTGGAAGGAGGGGCTGGCTCTACAGAGAGCGGCCAAGCCAAGCTGAGGGCCTCTCTCTCCTCAGGGCGAGGTCTACATGGTGAGGTGGAGGTCAGCAGTGGCCGTTAGCTGCTACCACTCAAAGCTCAGAGAAATCATAGCAAACAGGTGGCATGTCACCTGCTGCCATCAGCTGCCAAAGGCTGCAGTGTCGGAAAGGATCATCTGTCACGACAGGAGTCCTCAGCAGAGCAGGCGAGCGGCGCCCAAGCAGAGCTGACTGCCCTTTTGTGCCAGGCCCCAAGCTTCTGACCGTGTGAAGTACAGCAGCCTAACGGTTTTCTTTTGAGAGTAAATTCACAGGAAAGCAGGGAAGCCACACGATCGCTATGCTAATTCACCAAGTGATCATGATGTCGTTTGGAGCAGCATCCCCTGCTATGTCTTTCCAGTCTCGGGGTCCAGCCAAGTCCTCTCTTCCCTTTTCCCTAGTTCTGGCTTCCGCCTCTGCAGGGCAGGCAGCCAGGACGATGCCTGCAGCCAGGACGGCTCACCCACCTCCTTGGTCTCCCACAGCTGCTTAGGCAGTGGCTTCGGAACATTTAACAGATTCTCTTCTTTCAACGGCCCAGGAAAAGATGCTACTGAAAGGGAGAAGAAACAGACTCATTGAACTAAGATTAGAAGGCAGCCACCCCACTTTTGGTCAAATAAATCAGCATAGTTAAAAAGAGCTGGGGTAGGTGGGAAGGGGGTAGCAAACCTTTATCCCAGCACTCAGAAGGCAGAGGCAGATGGATCTCTATAAATTTAAAGCCAGTATACTCTACAGGACAGCTAGGGCTATATAGAAAGACACTGTCTCAAAAGAAAAGAAAGAAGCTGGGTGGTGGTGACACACGTCTCTAAACCCAGCACTCAGAGGTAAAAGCAGGCAGATCTCTGAGTTCAAGGCCAGCCTGGTCTACAGAGTGAGTTCCAGGACAGCCAGGATTACACAGAGAAATGCTGTCTCAAAGAAATAAACAAAATAATTAAATAAATAAAAAGAAAAGGAAACAATTTTTAAAATGTTTCTGAGCATTTAGGCATGTCTGCCCTGGAACCTGCTATGTAACCCAGGCTGACCTTGGACTTGCAGCCATCCTCCAGCCTCTGTCTCCCAAGTGGTGAGATTACAGGCATGTGGCACCCTGCCTAGTGAACAGGATTTCTTTAGCAAATATTTATTTTTTATATATTCTTTTTCTTCTTTAGTTATTGCATTATTTTGTGTGCATGGATATTTTACCTACATGTGTCTGTCTGTGTACTACGTGAATGCCAGTGGCCATGGAGGGTAGAAGAGGGAATTAGATCTCCTGGAACTACAGACAGTTGTGAACCACCAAGGGGTGCTAGGACACAAACCCCAGGGCCTCTGGCAGTTCTCTCCAACCCCTTTATCAAATCTTTATTGATGGTCTCCTGAAGGTGCTTTGTGTGTCATTGTAGGAGTTAAAGAAACAATTAAGAAACAGATTCAAATTTGAAGGAATCTGTAGACTAGCCAGGGGACGAAGGCAACACATCTATGACAGTCATTAAAACTGAAAGAAGCCCAGGAGAATAATATATCCTTGCTTCAGAGCAGAGAAGAACATTGAGGCTTTGGAGCCGAATGCTCTGTGCTCCCTTGAGAGACACAGTCAAGGGAGCACAAGCAAGAGAGTGTGGAGTAAGTAAAGAAGTCTAGAGAAGAAGTGGTGGCTACCACCAGCCAGGTGCTCTTTTTCCTTGGACTATCAGCTAGGTAAAGGATAATGATGGGAAACAAAGGGTAGAAGTCTGAGACCAGGCCAAGGCCCTGCAGGCATGGGAAAAGAGATAAGGAAAAATACACACACTAATGATATGAAGAAGGTAACAACAAATGAAGAGGTGTGTTGGGGAGCTGGCTCGGTGGAGAGAGCACTTGCCTTGTAAGTGAGAACCAGAGTCTGGATTCCCAGAACCCACGCAAAAGCCAGGTAGACATGGCAGCTGCCTGTAATCCCAGAGCACCAGGGGCACAGAAGGAGGCTCCCTGCTCTGGAAACGAGCTGACTAGCTAGATTAGTCCAAGTCAGGAAGTGCTGGATTCAACAGGACTCCTACTTGATATATAAAGTGGAGAGTAATCAAGGAAGACACCCAGCTCTGGGCTTCCATGTGAATGCACATGTATGTGCAAGTGCTCTCTAAGACGTCTACATACATAAACATGATGCACACATGCACACACAATGTATGACAATCACAGTGGCAGTGAAGCTACTTGGTAAAGGGCTGGGACTGGGACTAAAGAAGAACTGATAACCCACTGGCACATTTGGCTGAGCGGCTGATAGGGGTTCTAATGTTACAGAACAACCGGCTCTGCTTGAAGGGACTGTCCTTGGCTGTCTGCGTGAACATGCTCAGTCATACCAATGAAAGAGAGAAAGCCAGCCAAGACACAAACCAAGTGGAGGCTCTTTGTTCTCAGACATAGACCAAAGGTCAAAGGCGAGCTCTGAAGAACTACGTGATCTAATGTCACTGCTCGGAAGGGTTCTAGACTGAAGGGTTCTAGGGACTGCGTGGCTCCACTGTGCCTGTCCTGCTTTGGCCTGCACGAGATGAGTAACAGAACCCAGGAAGTCACTTAAAAATGAGATCAAAGCTAGGCGTGTTGGTACAAGTCTGTAACCCCAGCATGTAGGAAGCAGAAGCAGGAAGATCAGGGTTTCGGTGCCAGTCTGAGCTACATGATACCAAATCTCAAAGAACAGACAACAAAACATAGGCCAAAATTTCAGAATGAACTCTGAGAAAAGGTTTAAAATAAATCCCCTAAGTTTCTTTTTTTCTTTCTTTTCTTTTTTCTTTTTTTGGTAAGTTAATAAAACTTAGGAAATAATTACAGCTGTGGCCTCCAGAATTCATTCTCAGTGGCAGGCCCGGCACGATGCAGGGTTCATCATGGCTGACCTCCCAGGACCAGGGCAGCAAATGCCACTTCTGCTGAGACGACGGAACTTGATCTGTGTGCCTCGGGGTCGCTCAGTTCTGAGATTCAAACCACTCACTCTTTCTCTTCTTTTTTTTCTTTTTCCTTGTTTCCCTTTATGTATTGCTAAGGATAGGCCCTGAAAAGTCCTACATGATCTCACTGAGTCACGCAGAGGGATTAGTCTCTTATGAAGAGTATATTCTGTTCTTGTTGGCTCTTTTTCTTATCACGAATATAAATGCTTCAGAGAGGTAAGCCCCATGAGGTTCTAAGACTATTCTACTTCTGGGTGATCCTGAATAAACAGTGCCTGGGACATGCAGACCCACAGGGGCTCTCCACAACTGGGGACAGGAGCAGCGGGCTTTGTGAGCCTTTGTGGTTCTAGGCAAATGGAGAACAAGGACAGCAATGTGCTCGGAAGGTCTACGGGAGGCTAAGCAAGCAGCCTCATGACCTAAGGCCTAAAGAGATGGTCACAGGACTGGGACTGGGACAGGCTGCAGGGCCTCAACAGGTTGTTTCCCTGAGGAATTCATTGTTTGTAGTCTGTTTCCATGTACAAGGCTTGTTGGGAATTCTTCAAAGAAATAGCTGGGGATGGCGCTGAAGCCGTTTCTTCACTTCTGTCCTGAATGATCAGATGAAGCAGTTGCAAGTTTTCTTCCCCCCTCTTTTTTTTTTTTTTGGCTTGCTTTATGAGACAGAGTTTGCCCTCTGGAATACACTGACCTTGAACTCATGGAGATCTGCCTGCCTCTGCCTCCTGAGGGCCAGTTTCAAGTTTTTATGATTTTATTTAACACCTAAAATGGTTTGCTCAGAAAAGGAGCGTGCAGGGTGACGTCAGAGGGCTCTGCCTCATGCAAGTGATCCTTGCTTATCTTGTTCTCCACAAGCCTGGCCTCTGTGACATACAAACAAATTTAGCCATTCAGCTAATTCAGAATATGAAAATAATTATATTTCAGTTCATAAAGGTCCAATGGCGCCAGTATTAACTGGCTAAACGAACTGCTTTGGAGCCCCGTTTGCTGAGGGTTTCAGGTTCATCTCAGCAATCTCCAGCATGATTCTAATAGGCTTTATGAAGTCAGTGTCTTCTGCAAAATGCATAACTCTGTCTTATAATAAACTTGTATCTTTTTCCTTTTTGGGGACAGGATCTCATGTAGCCCAGGCTAGTCTCAAGCTCTATGTGTAGCTAAGACTCTCCTGGAACTTCCGGTCCTCCTGCCTTCAGCGCCCAGGCAGAGGACTGCAGGAGTGCACAAGCCTGGTGCGTCTGGTGCTGGAGGCTGAACTCTAAGCTGCGTGCATGCATACCGAGCAGTCCAAAGCCTGAGCGCAAACTCGCACATGTCCTGCACTGTCATTTAAATCTGTCAGTAGCTCAGAGTGACTTTTCTAAGGGGGCTGAGACAGTGTGGAAAGCAGGCTGTGGAGCAACTGCTTAAGTCTGCGATTAATTCACATTTTCATGTGGTTACAACTCTTCCTTCCTTGCCCAAGCTTGTGACTGTGGTACCGAGGGGACTCGGGTAACCAGGAACCATTGTAATCTGGTCACACATTTCCTCTCTCAGGGCTTTAATCATGTCTTGCTAATTTCCTTAGAGCATCTCAGATAAATACTCTAAGCAACAGTTGTCGGATTTTACATGAATATGACTGTCAGCCCCAACACCTCTCATACCTTCCCCATGGCCGTCATTTTCTCCATCACAGAAACCTGGTAGAAAGAGAAAAAAAACCTTTTATATGTGATATTATCATTTTTCATGCATTAGAATAACTTTTTGACATGAAATATAGTTTTTGAAGATTCTAGAGCAGTTCTAACAAAGCCCATTCGAGTGCTTTGGCACTCATACTAAAACAAATGCAGTTACTCAGAGCCGAGAGTCGGGGCCCAAGAGCTCTCCTGTCTTAGGTTCTTCCTGACTCTGCCTCGAGAGAACAGTGGCTGGCAGTCTGAGAAATACCTGAAGACAGTCTGGCTTCAAAATACAAAGCAAAAAAGTTTGTTCTGCCACACTTCCAAATATGTCATCCTACGGGAGGGCAGGAACTTGGACACTGACTATGGGTGGTAGTTCCGTGCTGGACACTGGGACATGTTCTGGACTCTAAAACAAGTTGCTTTAAAAAAAAAAACACATCTAGAGACTAAGTAAAGGTAAGGGTAAATGTGGTAGCTGTTCACAAAGCTTTTAAACACTAGTCTGGAGTCAGTTCTGGCCGAAGGAAGAAGAGAGGACCATGTGCAGTCCCTTCCGCAGCTCTGGCTGGAACTAGAGTCGCCCCACATGGCCTACCCAACCCTCCTCCCTCAGAGCAATTTTATACTAAGTGAGTTCTCAGCATAGACTCAGGATAAAATTTGAAGTCTAAGCCCTTAAACACAGCTCAGCTTAGGTAAGTTTCTAGATGCAATGGTTAAATTATAAATTAACCCACTCATTCTATAATATTAACACTTAATAATCAAGCATTCACTCAACAGATACTTGCTCAGTTTTTGCAGTGTGCGTTAGAGGATTGGGGCAGGTGGTGCAGGGCAGGCAGGAAGAGGCGGAGCTATGGCATCTTAGGGGCAGATGAACACTAAGAGTTCCCAAGAGCGCCAAGGGCTTACTAATTGATCAGACTCACAAAAAGGAGACTTTCTCCCAGAAAACAGAATCTAAGTTAGTGACTGAAAACTGTTTTAGTCCATCTTCAAGACCACTAAGGAGTAATTTCTTTTTCTTTTCTTTTCTTTTCTTTTTTTTTTTTTTTGAGACAGGATTTCTCTGTGTAACAGCCCTAGCTGTCCTGGAACTCTCTCTGTAGACCAGGCTAGTCTAGCCTTGAACTCACAGAGATTCACCTGCTACCGCTGGGTCACAAGGGTAAATGTATTAAGACAAGGAGTCTTAAACCTGATCTTTAAGGATGTTGATGCAGAAGGTATGTAAACTGCATGTTTCTCAACAGCAGAGTGCTTGCCTAGCATGCTGAGACCATGGATCTGAGGCCAGCACCACACACAAACAAAGGAAAAGGTGACAAAAAGCAAGGAAGCAAAGTGAACTGGACAAGGTGCAGAGCTGGACAGGAGAACGCAGTGCGGAGGGACAGAGGCAACGCTCCAGAGTCAGCAGTGACAGCAGGGGGGGGACAAGAGCGGCTCATTCACATTATAGTTTTTTGAGAAAGGACAGGGAACGTGACTGTTATGACCACCAAAATGTAATTATCCTATTCAAAATGATAAACTGCATTTTATGAAATGGTCTATTATTGTACACTGAGGAATCTCTTCATCAAGACACTCTGTTTAGTTACTAAGGTTAACCAGTCCCTACAACACAAAGAGCTAACTGAGGGTACCATGTGAACTTCAGAGGTGAGCAGATTCCCTGTGTGGCACCCTGCTCGTGCGGTGCAGGAGGCGGGCTTCATCCCTAGGTAGGCAGTGAGAACAGGGAGGGAGAGGATAACACTTGCTGCATGCCAGGCACCTCACACATGATCTCATCTAATCCTTGGAGCAACTGTATGAGACATGATCTGTCGCCACGGCCAAGATCACACTGCCGGTTCTGGGACTAGAACTCAGGGCTTGTCACCTTTAGAGCCAGTGTGCTGTGCCCGGAGGGAGTCAGGTGAATGGAAGTAAGGCTAAAGGGCTGCCTCGGTGGAACTAGCAAGAGTGGGAAGGATTAAGGAAAAGGGGAGGGGAAGAGGAAGACACATACAAAAGGGGCAGGGGATGGTGAGGTCTGGGAGGACGGGAGACACGCGGGCTGGAATTGGGATGAAGCGGAGAACAGAGGCCTGGGTTAATAATAAGCTGGAGAGACTGTTCTTCGTGGCAGAACACGAGAAGTTTTTGGACAGCCTCATGGCCTGGCACCAGGCTGGAAAGCCAGCAGACTGAACACTGAGTCGTGAAGCTGGGTACGTGGCAGGCAGTGAAGACTGAAAACACAAGGGCCACTGCAGGGAGAGCAAGGGCAGAGCTGGTCTATCGTGTGGGTGAAGGGCCAGGGAATAAGAACAATTTAATATCACTCTCAGGTGTTCCACTGAAGACCAGAGGACAGGGCAGCTGTGATTGACAATTTATTTAAAATTAACATATAACAAAATAGCCCAATGTAGATTTCTATTGCTACTACTAGTATTACCACGGCACACAGTTACACACATACGTGCAAACACAACATACCAAAGGGCATGACTTTAACACAAGGGTTAAAGACAAAAAGCAGGGAACTGTGACTAGGTATCTAGAAAAAGAGTCCCACAGGCGACAGTACGGCAATGACCGAGGTCACTTCTGTGCTGTAGGAAACCCACAGCCTCAGCGCCTCCGAGGGTTGACCTAACTAAGAGCAGCTGAGCCCAGGTTTCTTTTATGTGCTCTCATGTCTGGCAAGCCTACACAATGCCTCACAGTCTTCATGTGCAGTAGAAATACAAGGTGTAGACACTGTGAATCCCGAGAAGTTTCTAGAATTTCAGCCTCCCTGCCATCCTGATGACACTCAGAGATGGTGGCTTGTAGCCACAGTCTGCACGTTTTGCCTTTAGCTCCTAGCCTGCTCCCTGAAGAGCAAGGGCCACTCTAGCTTCTTCTACATGCTATGATGAAAGAGGACGATTTGGAGATAAAGCCAGGACAGGGCAAGTGTCACAGAGAGTCACTGTGCTGCTCCATCCACACGTCTACACGGAACAGTAATGACACTCACTGCACGTTACCAGGGAAACGGGTAATTAGACAAGAAGAGGGAAATGATGAAGCCCTGTTTGGCTATAAGAAAGTTTGCTTCTGTCATTCACAACTTCATAACATTTATGTCGAGTTGTCATGTAACTCAACAACCATGATATATCAGGCTAACAGCTTTGCTTCCTGGGAATATAATCTGAGCTAGCAAATGGGTCATACTCTTCATGTAGCTAAACTACAAGCAGGCACTCCCTCATCATTGGCTCCCAACCACGACGACAGTGACGTCGATGGACTTCCATCACTATGCTTAGCAGAGGTTCCCAGGAAAGGGTCGCTGTTACTGTTCCGACTACAGAATCTAGTTCTGGACATTGGTTATATTTTCCTATCACTTTTAAAATCCTTACTTTATTTGGTGGGTCCTATAAAAAGAAATACTTTTTTTGTGAAGCTAGTTGGTATTTTTAAAATCCAAAAGGAAAGAAAATGAAAAACTTTAATGAATTACATGGGGAAAATACATAAAACCATTTAAAATAGCTCCCACCAACAAATATAATTCTCTAGAAATAATTCTCATCCTTGGAGACTTGAATAATATTTTAAACACACTGGCTTTCCCATGTAAACACATCCATATTTGGATGTCTTTCTGAGGCCTGTGATACTGCAGAGGCAGGCACACAGTGCAGACAGCCATGCTGGGGGTTGGCTCACCTTCTGCAGTTGGCAGACACTGGGGCCCCATGATTTCTAACACTCAGTTGAAAAGGAGAGACCACCAAAGTTCCTGAGGCAACCCAGGAGTCCTGCCCAGGACCTGCTCCTTCCTCTCCCTTTTTTCTTGTTGCTCAGGGATCAGTGTCTGATCACCCACCTCCCATCGTGAGTGGCGCACCTGCTGGCAGTCCCTCTTCTCTTAAAGAAGACCTTACTCTTAAAGCAAACATTCAGCTCGATTTCCTTAGTTACTTTCTTTCTCTTTACATGGAAGCTCAAATGCTCCTTAACTTAATTAGCAATGGTTCCCTTGTCCTCTCTAGGCCTTCAGTCCCCTCTAGAACAGGGTAATCTCAGAGGGTAATGCCAAGGCAGGAACACAGGGCTTCAGGGAAGATGACACTAGGCTAGCTGGCACCCAGTCAGAGTGACAGACACCTTGCTGTGTGTACAGGCACCCCACTGGTTAGTCTCTGCTTTTTAAGGTTTTGTTTATACACATCCATCTCTACCTATCCTGAAGCTACTGTCCTCTAGCTTCCCCCACACCCACTTCTCTAAGCACTGTTCAGTGACCCACATCCAATTCCAACTTCCCGGCCAACTTCCCTCTCATATTCCCATGTATGGAAATACAGCAGATGTCCCCGGCCAATTCCAAAGCTCTCAGGCTTTACGAAGAGTCATTTCAGCAAATGAATTGCACCAAGGGAGCAAATATAGTAACAATTACTATCAAATCCTATCCCTATTATACGCAAGGAAGTGAGACCATGAATGGCTCTCCTCGGATGGAACAGACATTTTAGGCTTTAAATAAACCCAAACTGCAAAGAAAACCGGAAAAGCCAGTATCTAGGCCAGTCCTTGCACTCAAAGTCAATCTGTATATGGAGCAGACGATTCAAGCCTGTGTTCTTTCTAGATTAGAAGGCCCAGAAAGACATGTTGGGAAGTATCCGAATGAAGCATCCCCACTTCAGGTTAGATGTGTGCACCTGGTCAGATCAGTTTTAGGGAGTGCTCAGTACAGTGAGATTTCTTCATACTTCTCCAGCAGTAAATGTGCCTCTGTACTGAACACTGTATAGGGTGTTGGCTAGGACAGGACTTTTAAGACAGTGCCTTCAGGACCTTTATCCTAAGCAGGGGGAGAGAAGCAGTCTACACGAAGAAGCGGTAGTCAGATCACAGAAGCTGCACATAGGAGGGCACGGGTAGCTCGGGACCAGCAGAGGGAGGAAGGGCAGACACAGCCGAGGCTTTCACACGGAGGAGGTGGCGCTGGGTAGGAGAGGAAGACACGGGGATGGGAGGAGACAGCAGGAGAACCCCAGCAAGTTCACATATGAGGAGCAGGCTGGGGAACAGGAGGTACGCTCATGTAAGTCCAGCAAAAAGGCCGTGAACGGAAGTGCGTCGATGGTTTCTGAGAGCGAGCATGAGAGCAGACAGGGGTAACAGTGGAAGCAGAGGCACAAAGTAGCATGAGTCTGCCCGTCCCGGTTCCTGGACTTTCTCTTTCAGACTTCCTCTGGCCCACAGGGAGAAAACCAGGGTTCTGAGCAGAAATGGAGACCAAGGAGCAAATGACGACACTCAGCTTCCATTCTGCTCCCCTCCCTCGCCTGTTCCCTGGGACAAGCCTTCCTGTGGAAAAGTCTTTTCCTTGGCTCTACTTCGCCCTGGTCATGATTACTCTTCCCACGGGGACTGTCTGTGCCAGTTCTGCTGGAGGGTTTGCCTCCATCCCGAGGTTCAACCCTACAGGATCCATGGATCCTCAAAGTGAAGCCACTTCCTCCAACCTGGTCATATCAGTGACAAAAGAAGGCCTTGGAAAACCCAACAAAACCACTATAAGGGTATAAAAGTTAGGACAAAGACCAGCAAGGATGCTGTAGCAGAAGCCTGTGTAGAGGATGATGGGTGTCTACGAAGGGGGCTTCTGCCACAGGGAAGAAGAAGCTCCAGAGCCAAGAGATGCCAACAGGGAAGCAGGCGCCATGGGCGAAGCGAAGAAGGGATGCAGTCTAACTGTCATATGAACACACACACTTCCCCTGCTGGGAGCTTTTCTCTGAAGACCACCAGACTGGAGAAGAGCATGCACCACGGACGCTTTTCTCTCTCAGTTTCTACAATGCAGGAGAAAGCACAGATGCCAGTAGCAGGGGCCTATGTGTCTTACCCATGTATGGGGCAGGCCAGGGTGACTGGCCACCTCCTCCATAGGGGTCCTGGGGCTTGGTGCTCAGAGCACTCGTATGAAGAGCAGAATCAGAATTGGTCCTGAGGAGGGGAGGAGAGAGTCTGGCTGAAAATCCATTTTTTTCCTCAGTGAAATGCAGCTGTTTTTGATTTTTTTCTGAATATTACCAACAGGAGAGAAGATAAGAACAACCGACTTTACAAACATCCACACAATGAAGGCTCGGGACCTACCTGCAGTCCTTCACACCACGAAGGCACCAGAGGACCACCATATGTTCAAAGAGAGTTCAATCTGGGCTCGGATGGCCTTACACTATGAGGCTAATGGCACAGGGACTATTTCAGCAAGATTGGCCTCAGCTTCACAGCTTCCCTAAGGCCATCCTTTTCCCTCTGCATCTCAGAAGAGGGTCTGGGGCCTGTCTGACCCAGGGTTGCACTAGGCTTCTTGAGAATTCCTGAGCCCATGTGGAAAAGCACCCGAAACAGTGGTTCTTACGCCCTTTCTGGGAGAATACAAGGTCAGAACACCACTACCATCCCCTCTTCATTCTCACCTCCGAGAGCACAGCAGGGCTCCCCAGCACTTGTGCACACATCACAGCACAACAGACTCAGCACAGGCACTGACTATGGCTGCAGGAGGTACAATAATGCAACCAGTCCGTACATTCTGTGTGTCTTTTTAAGAAGGTATAATTTCTGTTGGCATGTAATAAGTTTATTGTTGCTATGCTGAAATACACCAATAGGTACATTTCACATCTCAGCTAGATTTCTATTGGCGGCAGCTGAGTATCGATGGGTATGCTCACAGAAAGAAATATCCTTTCAGTGTGTGTGCGCGCGTGCGTGCTGTTGTTTCTAGTGTAAAATAGGCGTAGGCAAATGTGGGGGAACTGTTGATCAACAGCAAGTATTTGAAACGCTCTCAGATAGTTCTAGTGTATGCACGACTTCAGCTCCAAAAGACGACAACTATTTATTTATCCCATCCAAAGGTCAAACTGTCTGTCATACAGGGGGCACATGAGCAACTTCAAGTTAGCCTAAAATGCTTCTTCACGCTCTGCTCCAGGCAACAGCTTCATGTGACTGGAGCCACGTGGTTTCAGGGGAGGGAAGAAGCGACAAGGGAAGGACTCTTGGGATGCTGCGGGAACAGCGTGTGCCCTGAGGGCTCCTGGCTCCAGCAGAGTCACAGAAACCCAGAAAACATCAGTCAAACAGAGGGAGGATGGGGAAATAGGACTGTCGACTGCCATTGGACTACGGAGTGGAAATTATCGTTACTGTTGTTAATCCCACTGCAGTTATGAGCTTTAAGCCTCTCCGTGGCCTTCAACTGGTAGGGCATTCACAGCTGGTGGGGCATTCACAGCTGGAGGGGCATCCACAGCTGGAGGGGCATTCACAGCTGGTGGGGCATCCACAGCTGGTGGGGCATTCACAGCTGGTGGGGCATTCACAGCTGGAGGGGCATCCACAGCTGGTGGGGCATTCACAGCTGGAGGGGCATCCACAGCTGGTGGGGCATTCACAGCTGGTGGGGCATTCACAGCTGGTCATAGGATGACACAGGAAGCAGGGAGAGAAGAAATGAGACTGGCAGAATGCCGACCAAGACAGAAACACTTCGAGTGGGCACAGGCTGTTTACCACTTTATCTCTCCTGCATATACTGAAAACTTCACACCACTGAGAGTTTTCATTTTCACATATTATCTTAATTCGGCTCCATAACTCATGGTTTTTAACTGGTTGTCTCCTGCCTCTCAGCTTCTGGAGTACTGGAATTACAGCCTGAGCCACCATGTCCAATTCAAGCTTTTGGTTGTTTTTCAAATTCCAGTCCCCTCTGCATATTAGCTAAATGTTTCTGGGGGAAGTCATTTATCCTCTTAAAGCAGAAAAGGGCAGTCATTCTTGCAGCATCAGGATTGAAAAGTGACTGAAGTATGGCCTAAAGTAACCTGGAGAATAGTTGACATTTATTGTACTGTGCCTCCAAGTGGCATCCTATTTAATCCTTCCAGCCAATCCCCTCCTGGGAACAATTACTACCTCCGTGTTCATATGTGCAGACAGACAGAAGGTACTCTGTCTGGGATCATGTGGTCAGAGGCAAACCTTGGCGGTCCCCTCCAGACTTCATGTTCTTACTGCACCATCTCCTACACACTCAACAGTATTCTGTTTTATTTTTTACCACTTCATATAAACACAACTGATACAAACAAACTGGGCAGCAAGATAACACATAGAGCTACCTAGCCAAACCTGTTGTCTCCTTGAAAATGTACTTCTACTACGAAACAGCCCACATACCTGTTAAGTGCAGACGTCAGCCTGAATCCAGGATGCTTTTCTTCTTTCCAAGGAGGCTGCTGCCTTTAGAAACCAGAACGACATTAAAAAGGGAAGAAGGTTAAGCTATGGGATCAAAGAGTGTTTGGTAGCCAGCTCTTCTAACCTCGCCATCTGGGCCCTGGGTTATCTAAAACGCTCAGGCCTTGCTCTGCTCAGCACTGGAGAGGAGGCCGGACTGAGTGGCCTCTCTGAGTGGCAGTTCTGTCTTCCAAGACAACTACCACGAATCCATAGCACGGCATCAGTCAGCTGGGCACACTTGGACGCTGGGTGGAACTAGTCAAAGGAAGAATGACCCTCCCTCTCTAAGGGACAGTAGATCTTATTCCAGTACGCCAAGTTTCCCCTCATCATGCACCTTGAGTGTGTGTGCAGGGCTGCTTTGGCCATCCTGGATATGATTATTTGCTCTCTCATGGAAGGCCACGAGTGCAACATACTTGCTAGCCATCCTATGAAGACAGTCACCTGACCAAGCCCAGGGCTCTGAGGAGCAAAAGACACCCAGGGATAGGAGGCTGAAGCACATCCGTCTGGAGATCTACCCTTTCTCACCTAAAGTACAATGCTGTACCTTACACACGTGAACCTCAGGACTCCTGAGGAGGCTGAGACCTGTGGTGGGGTCAGTGCTGCTCCATCTTGACTTTCTCAGATCCAGACTACGCTATTCATGATAAGGGCTCAGTCAGTTTTTGCCCAAAGAATTGATGAGGGCAAGATTGAGAGTTGACATTCAGAGAATTCTCGTTCTCTCTCTCTTTTTTTAAATGTCTTCTCTTTTTTTTAAAAAAAAAAAAAAGATTCATTCCTTCCTTCCTTCCTTCCTTCCTTTCCTTCCTTCTTCTGGTTTTTTGAGACAAGGTTTCTCAGTAGCTATGGAGCCTGTCCTGGAACTCAATTTGTAAACCAGGCTGACCTCGAACTCACAGAGATGCTGCCTGCCTCTGCCTCCCGAGTGCTGGGGTTAATGGCGTGTGCCACCACCGCCCGGCATCTTGTTTTCTGGGACAGGGTCTCACTCTGTATCTGAGGCTGACCTTGAATTTACAGCAATCCTCCTGCTTCAGCTACCCAAGTTCTGGGATTACAACTATGGGCCATCACTCCTGATGATACATACACTTTAGGAATCTCTTAAGTCTGATGTGGAGGTGTGAACTAATAATGCCTCACACACAGCAGATGCAGTCAGTCCTCTTTCTGTGACTGTCTAATGGGTCACCATTACACCAGATACAAAACATATTCACAGGCGCTAGACCAAATACATTTTCAGTTTAGGAGTCTTTCATCCCCTTCAGTAACTGACTAAGAAACGCCAGAGAAGGAATTTATTTTTTCATGTCTCTCCTAAGACTACCAAGTCAGACATTTTGTTGGTAAATGTTTTCCCAGTGTATTTCTATTTGAATCTAGATTTGCTTAAGTAATTTTTATTCTATATTTTCTTACAAGCTCAGAATTATATATGGGAAGGCTGAGATTTTTTTGATGTTGTTGTCACCTTAGATAGGGACTCATTTCATCGCCTGGGCTCCCTGGAGTTCACTATGTCACTTAGACTAGCCTCAAACTTGTGATTCTGCAGACACCTAAGTGCTAGGATTGCAGGCATGTACCACCATGCCCAGTTCAAGACTTAAACTTTAGAAGATAAAACAAAATGTGATGTTAAAATTTCTAGCTAGGCCAGGTACTTGGGGCACAAGCAGGAGTATTGCTGTGAATTCAAGGCTAGCCTGGTCTACATAGCGAGCTCCAGAATAGCCTGGACTACATAGAGAGATGCTGTCGTCCCACCCTTTCCCCCCCTCCAAAAAATATCATGGTGGAACTTGTCTCTGATTCCATTTGGAAAGGCAGAGGCAGGAGGATCAGGAGTTCAAGGCCCTCCTTGACTATATCACAAGTTTGAGGCTAGCCTGAGCTACAAGAGATCCTGACTCAAATAAAAAAAAAGCCAGAAACTTAAATGATATATAAATAAGTCTAAAACAACATTCAAGATGGTTAAACCACCTTAAAAAGAGGTTCTCTCCTATCTGCTAAAATACTCCTATAAAACAAAACAAAACACAACACTTCTGTTTAGCTCTCTTACCTTGGCCAGCTCTCATCCAGGGCCTGCGAAGGATAACTGGCTGCAAAAGTATTCCCATCAAAGTAGAGTTTTTAATAAAGGAAAACAAAATTTATGGGGAGTTGAAGCAGAATTAAGAAACTGAAACTGGAGGTTCGGCCGCTGAGTTGCCCCCACACACACACTTAATGGGGCACGCCCCTCCACATTCTCACCAGTTCTGTGATCTGTTCTCTAACCATGTCCTCACCGGGCTTGCGTGGGCTGTTTCTGTGTCGTGTAAGTGCGTATGTGTTATGAGTGAACTGTGCAGATGTGTGTCTGTGGAGGTCAGAAGTCATCCTCAGAAGCCATCGACCTTGGTTTGTTGTTGCTGTCGTTTCATCGTGTGTGTGTGTGTGTGTGTGTGTGTGTGTGTGTGTGTGAGAGAGAGAGAGAGAGAGAGAGAGAGAGAGAGAGAGAGAGAGAGAGCTGGCTGTTCTGGAATTCTCTATGTAGACCAAGCTGGCTGTGCATTGCTGCCTCTGCCTCCCAGAGCTGAGATAAAAGGCTTGCACCAAGCCGGGCGATGGTGGCACACGTCTTTAATCCCAGCACTCGGGAGGCAGAGGCAGGCGGATCTCTGTGAGTTCGAGACCAGCCTGGTCTACAGAGCTAGTTCCAGGATAGGCTCCAAAGCCACAGAGAAACCCTGTCTCAAAAAACCAAAAAAAAAAAAAAACCCCCCCCAAAAAAAAAAAGGCTTGCACCATCATGCCCTGCTCCCTGTTTGCTGAGACAGCGTCTCCTTGGCTTGTAGCTCACTAACTGGCCAGTCAGCCCCAGGGATCTGCCTGTCTCTGCCTGCCCAGCGCTCTGATTATAAGTGGGTGCCACCATGTCCTGCTTTTTCACATGGGTTCTGGGGCTCAAACTCGGGTTCTCAAGTTTGCATGGTTAAGTACTCTGCCCACTGAGCCTTCTCTCCCCACCCTGTCATGTGTGTGTGTGTCCTGCCCAATGTTTGTTTCCATTATTTGCATTACAAACACTGGTAAGGTCACCCTATGCAGGTCTCCCTTTCTCTGGATGGATGGACTCAGGCCCAGCTAGTTTTTGTCAAGGTTTCTCATTCTGCAGAGAGTAACTGGTTCTCGAAGAGGCCAGGGACACAAACAGGACCAAGGAGAGTACTTCCAGGTGGGAATGAGGCATCTGAGTCCAGAATGCCTGTCTATGCAAGAAGTCAACACCACAGGGATAGTCTTAATGATATCATATGGCTTCCTGGCCATACCCCTTGGGTTTCCAGTCACAGAAGTCAATATACTTCCTTTTTCCTCAGGAGGCTGTGGCAGGAACACCAAGTCTGAGATCAGAGTTAGCAACTTAGTGAGACCCTCTCTCAAACAAAGTAAGAACAAGAAGTCATGGGGAGACAGCTTGGTGGAAGAGCCCTTGTCTGGCATGTATGAGCCCCTGGGCTCAATCCCCAGTGCTGGGGGGTGAACTTCCTTTTTGAGTTTGTTTTTGGGAGGCTTTGTTTGTTTGTTTTTGAGGCAAGCTCTTACTAAGTAGCCCAGGCTAGCCTCAGAATCAAAGCAATCCTTCCATTTCAGCCTTATGAGTGCTGAGATTATATGTGTGTGTATGTATGCATGTATGTAGATATACACATAGGTACATATAAAAAATTCTTTTCCAAATTAAGGCGAGTTCTTGCTATTTCTAAATCAAAAGAGAACTATATTGGACTTGAAGTGGATGTAAATTCCAGGTGTAAACGCTGTTGTTTTCTAGGTTCTGTGTTGCTTATTGGGTCTAGCACATCTAAAGACCCATTCCAAAGACTCGGAAAGACAAATGGGGTATTTACTATACACACTGAGTATAGCAGGGCCATTAGTGTTGATTTGTGAATTGCACTCAGATATTTTAAATAATATTATTCTCCTACTTAAAAAAATCAAAGCACTGGGTGTGGTAGCACATGCACTCTGGGAAGCAGAGGCAGTCTTGTGAGTTCAAGACTAGCCTGGTGAGGGCTGGGCGGTGGTGGCACACATCTTTAATCCTAGCACTCGGGAAAGCAAACAGATTTCTTTGAGGCCAGCCTGGTCTCCAAAAGCTAGTTCCATGACTGCCAGGGCTGTTACACAGAGAAACCCTGTCTCAAAAACTCAAAAGGAAAGAAAGAAAAGACTAGCCTGGAATTCATGGTATAGTAATTTTCAGGCCAGTCAAAAAGAAAAAAAAAGAAAAAAAAGAAATAAACAATTAATTAATTTAAAAGGGGGTTGGAGAAATGGCTCAGTGCACTTCCAGATCCAAGGGCTCCAAAGTCTCTGGCCTCCTCAGGAATCTGTACTCATGCACCCCACACCGCCACGTAATTAAAACTACTAAAAAGAAATCCTTACAAACCACCGCTCACCACTGGCTCTTGCTGGAAGGTGCTCTAGCTGTAATGTCACAGCTAACTGTGTGGCCCACAGTGTGGCTGCAGGGCCCTGGGCTTCTCTTGCCTCCACTACCACAAGTTTACTCTTCCGCCTATGCCTTTGCTAGTGCCAGTTCCCTCTCCTGGCCTCTTTGGTGATACAGCCTCCTCACAGACCTGGTTCACGTCTCACCACCATCACCAAACCCACTTTTTGTCTCTTATGTCACTGATTGGATCAAATGCACACCAATACTGCTTTTGATTCCAAATCTTTATTTCTTATATTTGAGGGAGAAATCGTATAGAATTTATACAAGGTATACATTATGATACCAGAAATAGGAAAATGGAAGTAATAAGCACCTACTGTGTTCCAGGCTTGTGTTAAGCAAGTTCATGCTCCTCTGTAGTCCGTGTGTGTGTGTGTGTGTGTGTGTGTGTGTGTGTGTGCGCGCGTGCGCGCGCGCGCGAGGGGGGGGGGAGGGAGGGAGGGAGGGAGGGAGGGAGGGAGGGAGGGAGGGAGGAAGGGAGAGGGGGAAGGAAGGTTCTCTGTGTAGTCCTAGCTTTCCTGGAATTTGCTCTATAGATCAGGCTGACCTCAAACTCAGAGATCCATCCTCTGCCTCCCAAGTACTGGGATTAAAAGGCATGCACTATCACCGCCCAGCAGCTCCCCTATAATCTTAAAAGTCTTAGGAGGCAGATGACATGATTACCATTTTACAGCCAAAGAGTCAGAGGCTCAGTCCTAGATGAGCCGAGAGATCCATAATCCCAAAGCTGGCGTGGCAGGCTGTGGGGTCAAACCTACCACTCACTGACTCCAAAGCTTCAGACTGCACCTCTCTACTGCCTCTTGGGAAGTGGTGAACTGGCACCATGGACCCCAGAAAAGGGGAAACATGTACTTGGGGTGTTCTTAGAAGAAGATGGAGCCTAGAGTAAAGCAAAGCACCACCTGATTGGGCTCAGCAGGAAATGGGGTCTTAACGGAGTGGAGCCCTGCCATGAGTCAGGCTGGACATCTAAAGTGAGTAGTACAACATATGGAGTTATAGAAATGTGGCTATTAATGGGATCTTAATGATTTCCTTTGCAAAGAAAAGCACTATGACCGCTAGGTTTGTCCTCCAGAAACTTGTTTTCTTTGATTTCTCACTATCATATTTCTTAATCTGACTCTGAGCCAACACAATGAGACAAGAGACATATTCCAGAGACGCCTTTCTTCAACCTGCCTGGGCTCACTGTCTGTGAAGTTCAGGGTAGATCCCTGAAAGAGAGAAAACCTGAGTCTATCAGTGTCTGAGCTGGTGAAGCCTGTAAGGAGGAGACTGGGTTCCACAGCCTGTGTTCATCTGCCTTTCTTTCTTCTCAAAGACTTGATGAACCTCTGCTTACAGAAGTTCAGTTCATAAAGCAGATGTCTAGCATGGTTTTCAAGTACATTGCCACCCTTAAAACCATTAAGTCCCAGTTGGGCATGGTGGCCTTTAGTCTCAGCACTTGGGAGGCAGAGGCAAGCAGATCTCTGTGAGTTCAAGGCCAGCCTGGTCTACACAGTGAGTTCCAGGACAGCCAGGGATACATAGGGAGATCCTGTCTCAAAACAAATCAAGTCCCATCACAAAGCACTGCACACAGGTAGCGTGCGGAGCGTGCTAGGGCACAGTGAGCTTGCATTTTAAGCTGCCTAATAAGCACTTAGAACATGAAAATGTAGTAAACCCTGGCCCATCTTCACGTAACTAGGCTGAGATAAAAGAAGCTAGAAGATGGGACTCTCTCCTTTCCTTCTATCTCATCCCAGTCAGTAGACAATTAAAAATCCAAGACGCATGGCCTCTGTGGATGGATTGGGCTCAGTTTGCCCCTGCTGACTGCAGGGACTCAGGGAGGGAGGTGCTGAGCGTGGACAGTGGAGAAGCCGGGCTCTCTGTCTAAGAGGGACACTATTTGGGTCCTTCCCACTGTCTAGGCTGTATCTTCATGGCTGTTCTATTTTCCCATCCCCTGATTTCTGTTTCCTTTTCTTTCTCTGTCCTCCCTTCCTAAGACAAGGTCTCATTCAGACTGGCCCTGAGTTCACTGTATGGCCAGGCTGACCTTGAGCTGCAATCATCCTCCTACCTCGGCTTCCTGGCACTGGAACTGCATTTGTAATACGCCGTGTTCAGCCTAAACATGCCCCAATAAAAAGAACACATCAGGTAGAAAAAGTTTAACTTATTAGTCCATATGTGTATGTGCATGACGGAGGCACCAATGTCAAGGCACACTGGTTAACTAAATGGAGTAAATTCTCTCTAGCCATCTTTGCATGGGCTCTGGGGGTGGAACTCAGGTTGCTGAGTATGTATGCCAAGCCCCTTTAGCTGCTGAGCCACCCTGCAGCCCTCAAGTCAAATCTGAAAAGACATGTATGAGATCTTTCTAAGTCTCTGCACACATGAGAGGGAAACAGGCTGCAGGCGACACTATGAGGTTAGGATTGCTCTGCCTTAGCACTCTAAGGACTGGTGTCTGTCTCTCTGCCTTCTGACAGGACTGTTAGGTGAGGGTTCGGTTAGGATTGCTCTGCCTTAGCACTCTAAGGACTGGTGTCTGTCTCTCTGCCTTCTGACAGGACTGTTAGGTGAGGGTTAGGTTAGGATTGCTCTACCTTAGAACTTGAAGGACTGGTGTCTCTCTGCCTTCTGACAGGACTGTTAGGGAAGGGTTGGGTTTTGGAGGTCACCAGGTTTTGAAAATCCATAAAGATAGACATTTATTAACTCCAAAGTGTCTTAGAACCCTATATGTACCATGAGACTCCAAGAGCAGGTGTGGGGGTAGGGGTGGGGGTACAGTGTTTCTTAGACTTGACAGGCTATAACTCTCAAAGAACAATGTCCCATGTTCTAAAATTTCCATCCTGTTGTGACTAGATAAGCCAAGGCCTGCTGCAGAGGGGTGGTTCCTATCAGGTTCTCAAGCATGTGATTCAGGTCTGCTCAGGCCAGGGTCTCAGCTCTGCTGGGGAGCCTTCTAAATACCGTTTTCTTCCTTCCACAACAATGCACCTCTCTGAGAAGAGGTTTTCTAACATCTTCCCTAGAGATCAGAAAATGGTCCAGAAGCTCAGCAGAATGGTATTTGGGATAGGGCAAGTCTACCACCACCGTGAAGCCGGGGGTGGGTGGAGTGCTACAGCATGGACTGCTGCAAAAGGTGTATTTTCTAGGCTGGGAAGAATAGCCTTTGAGGTGCCTCTCCTTTGCCTGCAGTGGCAGGGGTTGACAGAGTCCCGCTGTGGCGACGCCCCGGCCTTGTGGCAGCCATGCATGCCTAATCTAGAAGGAGGTTCCTGGGTCTGAGCCCTGTGGGCTGTGGCTGCCCACTCGGGGAGGAAGCTGGAGTATTTGCTGAACAATGCTCATTTTATCTGTGGCCATTGTAGCCCTGGACCAAACCCTTGTTAGCAGACTGCCCACCCTAAAACAATACCCATGCTAAGAAACAACTATAATAAAAGAATTCTGAATACATCTTATTTTTTTTTCTGTTTGTTTCAACAAAGATTCAAACCATTTTCTGGCATTTAAAATGGTAAAACTTGGGGGCTGGAGAGAGGGCTCCGAGGTTCAGAGAACCCGAGTTTGGTTTTGAGCAACCACATGGTGGCTCACAACCGCCTGCAACTACACATCCAGGAAATCCCACTTCTTCTGGCTTCCATAGGCACCAGGCACATACGTGGTGCATAGACATGCACACAGGCAAAACATCCATATACATAAAAGATAATTTTTAAAAACTAGGCTGGTATTATAGACAAAAATGAAAGGCACAGGGTAAAGTGAGTTACTTCACAGCCAACAGAATGCTGGCCAGGAAAGCAAAGAAGGCCTCAGGTGTCTCCCTCCGACTTCAGAGTAAGTTTACCACCTGAGATGTAAAATCATCCATCCTATTTCTCACTTGATGTTCCCAGTTTTTTGACGCCTCAAACATGACACAATAGTCCATTGGTGGATACCCCTAGGCCAATGAGCTTCTCTACATCAGATGTTCAGGCCCAGAATCCAAATTAGGGGCTTAGGAGACGACCATGGAGAAACAGCTCAACAACAATCTCTGTATATTCACTTGGGTTTTCCTTTCCCTTGCGAGCTGGCTGGCTTTGCTGACTCAGAGTCAGGTTACCCTCTGGGATGCATCCCCTGAAGAGAGACAGCTTCCCTGGACATGCAGAGCAGCCCCTTCTGGAACTGTATACGGTCCGCTCCCTTTGCCAGAGCATGACTCTGGAAGCTGCTACTCTCTAACTACTGCCATCTGCGGTGGTCTGGATGAGAACAGCCTCCACAGGTTCCTATGTTTGACTACTTGGTCCCCGGGTGGTGGAGCTGTTCGAGAAGGATTAGAAGTTGGAGGTGTTATTGGGGGTGGGCTTTGAGATTTCAAAAGACATTTCCAGTTAGCTCTCTGTCTCAAGAAGTGAGCTCTCAGCTACTGCTCCAGCACCGTGCCTGCCAGCCTGCTTGCTGCCCTGCTCCCCACCAAGATGGTCACAGACTCTAACTCTCTGAAACTCTAAGCCCCCAATAAACTCTTTAATGAGTTGCCTTGGTCATGGTGTCTTATTACAGCAACAGAAAAGTAATGAAGATACTATCTGAAGTTACTTTCCTTATTATTATTTGCTGCTTAGCTGTCTGTCATCTCCCAGAAGACTGTAAAACTCAAGAATACAGGGATATCTCATTCATCACTTTGTCCTCAGTGCTCAAGACACCGCCTGGGCCAGGGAAGGGTCTCCACGACTATATGTTTACCTAACCCCTGTCCTCAATCTCTTCCACTGCCCACTCTTTTCCTTCTTTTTGCCCCTCTTTCCTTCCTCCCCTCCTCTCCTCTCCCCTCCCCTCCCCTTATCTATCTCTCTCTCTCTCTCTTTCTCTCTCTCTGCTGAGAATTGAATCCAGGGCTTGCTTCACATAAGCCAGGTTCTCAGCCACTGAGCCACACTAGCAGGAAGAAAACTTGTCTTGAACCCTAACCCCTGAGAATGTTAGGCGAATACTCTACCCCTGAGCTATACTCTCCCGCCCATGTGTTGTTAAATCAGGCAGAAACATTTGGCCTTTTGCTAGAGAATTCCAGGCAGTTTGGACAATTGCTTGGTGTGCCGCACCACACTCACAGGTGCTAGTTAGATAAACTGTGTCTCCCTTTTACCTTCTGCACTCTGCGTGAAGCCACCGCACATTCATTCCAGGAAGGAATTCTCAGGATCGTCTGTCACTTTCCTTTTCCCTGACAGCAGCCATATAACAGACAAAATTAGAAGTCATTGCACCTTGTGGATCACATTCAGTGTCTGGAGAGGAGCTGGGAGGACTCAGGACTCGCTTCTCAATGGAGTAAAGCGCAAGGGGCATTGAAGGTAAGAAAAGGTGATACTTCCTCTGTGAGTCCCTGCAATAGGAGACTAGGAGTCTTCTCTAGCACGTGGTTCTCCTCACCACCATGTGGACTAGCCTGGGCTATATGAGTCACAGCAGTGGAATCCTAGGCAAGTTACTCTGACTTCTAGCTTTCTCGTGGGAAAATGAGGGTTAAAAGAAAAAAATCAATGACCCATTGACTTCTGGGGACTAAATGACATATAAACTGCCCAGCACAGTGCCTGGCTGGGTAGGTGCTCAGTAAACAGAAGTGCCCTCCCCCACTTCCTGGTTTCTAAGCTTGTGAAGTCAACTCTACCATCACTGCCAGGAATCAGCTCTCTGCAGGGAGATTCGCCACGCCTATCTGCTCCTTCCTCAGCCTGTGCCTGGGCTGAGAAGAGCAAGTGAGAAGAGGCCCTGGCATGCTCTGTCTCTCCCTCTCTCGCAGCATCCAGTTCAGCTCTGTTTGCCCCCAACCTTCAGCACCGTGGGGCCCACAATGCCACCCCAGCCTGTCCCACTCCTAAGGCCTACCGCTTAAATCAAACTGCCAGATGAATCCACTGGCCCCTTTCTTTATTCCTTAGCAACAGAGTTTGGTATCACATCACTGTTAAAGAATTTTCCTAAATGCCGCTGGAGAGATGGCTCAGTGGTTAGGAGACTGGTTGCTCTTCCAGAGGAGCCAGGCTCAGTTCTCAGCACCCACAAGCTGGCTCACAACTGTAACTCCAGTTCCAGGATCTGACACCCTCATATAGACATACACGTAGGCAAAACACCAGTGCACATAAATTAAAAGAAAATTTTTTTTCCTAAATACCAAGTTTATATTTTACTTATCATTTACTGAGTTTGAAACTATATAAACAGACAATCTTATGAGATTTCTCCTTTAAATTCTAAAAGCAGGTCATCAGGTCAACAATCATACAAACATCAATTTGCCCATTTTTTTGCTAGATAGACTAAATCTCTCTAAGTTGATTCCATCAAGTCAAGCTTAACTCTGCTGGTTTCTGAAGACAATGCTGAGGATGTCTGGCATGCCTGGATTACAAGTTTATGTTCTGCTGTCTCATTCAACAGAACATTCCCGGTGTTTTCATAAGCACCTACCATGATCTTGCCCAATCTGGCTGCAGAAATGTCGATAGCTTTGAGCTCAGTTACTTTTACTGCTTCCTCTCAGAAGATCAGATGGAGCTACAGCGAGATAAATCCCGAGCGCTCGCTTCTCAGGAATTTCAGAACTCACACTCTCCTCAGACAGTGAAAAAGGATATTTGTCTCCCTGGCTTCTCCCCAGACCTTCGGTGAAGGGGGTGGAAGCGGTTCCGGGCTGGCCTCTCCACCAGCCCATGGTGGCGGGTTCCGCGAACATTATCAGCTGGATGAAATGTCGGCTGCAGAGAAAAAGGAAGAACGTTTGGCCTCTAACCATGAAATTGCCACTCACCCTCAAGAGCAACTGATAAAGATGAAAAGCTGAGTTTCTAATTTTACTATTGCATGCTGGTGCTTTGTGTCAAGGTAAATAACATATTGCATGTGGCTCCGTTTCTACATAATTACAGACTATTTCAAAAATAGTCTTTAATGTGATAATATGGACGCAGACAGATTATTCATAAAAATTGTCACAGTTAGGAAAGGAAGAACCAGGGGACTATGGTTTCAAGCTCTCTCAGTCTCTTCTTGCCTTCTGAGAGCTACAATTCTATCTTAAAATGTTTTTACTGGGCCAGCAAGATGGCTCAGTGGGTAAAGGTGCTGCCTCGCAAGCCCGAACCTGGGTTCAACCCAGACCCCACAGAGGTGAAAGGAAAGAACCGTTTCTGCCAGGTTGTCCTCTGGCCTCTACACAAGCTCCACACAATGCACACCCATATGCATGGGCACGCTCGAGTGCCTCTGCATGCATGCGCGCGCGCACACACCCACACACACACACACACACGTATGTACGCGTACATACACACACACTTAAAAATGCAATATTGAGCTGGGTGGCATACACCTGTAACCCCAGAATTAGAGGGGGCAGAGGCAGAAGAATCACAAGTTCAAGACGAACCTAGGCTACAGTGTGAAACCCTGTCTCAAACAAACAAACAAACAAATAAAAATTAAGCTCTGCTGCCCTAGAAAGTACTTGATTTTTCCTTTGCTTTTCAAGCTTACTTGTGTATAACTTTTACATCGTGGTGCAACATTTTGTTGTTGTTGTTATTGCTGCTGTTTTTTGAGACAGGGTTTCTCTGTGTAGCTTTGGAGCCTGTCCTGGAACTCACTCTGTAGACCAAACTGGCCTCAAACTCACAGAGATCCGCTTCCCTCCTGGGATTAAAGGCGTGCGCCACTACTATCGCCTGGCTCCGAAAGTCAATATACTTTTGAGATCTAGTTTTTGTACTTAACATTATTTCACAATATACAACCTTGCTGTACTAATTCAGAAATCACACAGAACTTCATTTCTAATACTCATAAAGACAGCCATCTACACTACAGTTCAAAAACTGTGATTTGGCCTTTTGTTCGCGAGCTAACCAGGCAGCGCGGAGTTTCGATCTGGGCACCGAGTGAAACATCATTGTGGTGAGTGAGTGCTGCGGCAGCTGGGAACATACCTCAGCCCGCCCACACTTCCAGGCCATCCTACAGGGGCTATACTGCCCAAACCGCCTCTCTATTTCTATCCCATTCAGCTTACATCCAGATCCCCACACCCCCTGTCTCCCTCCCTCTCTCCCTCCTTTGGGGCATAGCGCCTCCCTGCCCAGCCTGCTAGGACCTGGGACCGAATCCGAACCGGGAGGACAAAGGGGTGGCCTGTAGCTCCTTTGTTCCCATAGCCTGCCCGCAGCGAGCGGGGTGGGCCCTTTGTTCGCGAGCTAACCAAGCAGCACGGAGTTTCGATCTGGGCACCTAGTGAAACATCATTGTGGTGAGTGAGTGCTGCGGCAGCTGGGAACATACCTCAGCCCGCCCACACTTCCTGGCCATCCTACAGGGGCTATACTGCCCAAACCCCCTCTCTCTTCCTATCCCACTCAGCTTACATCCAGATCCCCACACCCCCTGTCTCCCTCCCTCTCTCCCTCCTTTGGGGCATAGCGCCTCCCTGCCCAGCCTGCTAGGACGCTGGGACCGAATCCGAACCGGGAGGACAAAGGGGTGGCCTGTAGCTCCTTTGTTCCCATAGCCTGCCCGCAGCGAGCGGGGTGGGCCCTTTGTTCGCGAGCTAACCAAGCAGCGCGGAGTTTCGATCTGGGCACCAAGTGAAACATTATTGTGGAGAAACATCTCTGGGGAGTGACATCACTGGGAAGGTACATCAGTGGGCAAGAAGACCTGATCCTGTAAAAGAAGATCCAAAGGGGAGTATTGGGAGGAAGAGATGGGCAGACGCCAATGCAGGAATTCTCCCAACAATCTGAAAAACAACACGAAACCACCAGAAGCCAGTGACCCCACAACAGGAGGACATGAACACCTTAATCAAGAAGAAGTAGAAAAAACTGACTTCATGAAAGTGATTGACACCCTTAAACAGCATATAAAAAACGCCCTTATGGAAATGGATGAGAAGTATAATAGAAAGTTCGAGGAATTGAGTAAATCAGTGAATGATACCCTAGGAAACCAAGGAAAAACAATCAAGCAGATAAAGGAAACAGTTCATGACTTGAAAACTGAAATGGAGGCAAAGAAGAAAACACAAACAGAGGGCCGGCTGGACATGGAAAATCTAGGTAAACGAATAGAGACTACAGAATCAAGTATAACCAGCAGAATACAAGAGATTGAAGAAAGAATCTCAGATTCTGAGGATAACATAGAGAAAATAAACACTCTGATCAAAGAAAACAGCAAGTCCAACAAACTCTCATCACAAAACATTCAGGAAATATGGGACACAATAAAAAGACCAAACCTAAGAATAATTGGAGTAGAAGAAGGAGAAGAAGTGCATCTCAACGGTACAGAAAATATACTTAATAAAATTATAGAAGAAAACTTTCCCAAACTGAAGACAGATGTACCTATGAAGGTTCAAGAAGCATACAGAACACCAAATAGGCTGGATCAAAAGAAAACATCCCCTCGCCATATAATAATCAAAACACAAAATATACAGAATAAAGAAAGAATATTAAGAGCCGCAAAGGAAAAAGGCCAAGTTACTTATAAAGGTAAACCTATCAGACTTACACCTGACTTCTCTATGGAAACCATGAAAGCCAGAAGGTCCTGGATAGATGTTCTCCAAAAACTAAGAGACCACGGATGCAAGCCCAGACTACTATATCCAGCCAAACTTTCATTCACTATAAATGGAGAAAACAAAATTTTCCAGGATAAAAACAAATTTAAACAATACGTAGCCACAAATCCAGCCTTACAGAAAATAATAGAAGGAAAATCACTAACCAAGGAGTCCAACAATGACCAAAATAACTCAGACATCTAGAGACTCTTCACCAGCGCAAATCAAAGAAGGAAAACACACAAACCCTACTACTAAAAAAGTGACCGGAGTTAACAACCACTGGTCATTAATATCACTTAATATCAATGGGCTCAATTCACCTATAAAAAGGCACAGGCTAAGAGATTGGATAAGAAAACAGGATCCAACATTCTGCTGTCTACAAGAAACACACCTCAACCACAAAGACAGGCACCTACTCAGAGTAAAGGGCTGGGAAAAGGCTTATCAAGCAAATGGACCTAAGAAACAAGCAGGTGTGGCCATACTAATTTCTAACAAAGTTGACTTCAAACTTAAATCAATCAGAAGAGATGGAGAGGGGCATTTTATACTCATAACAGGAACAATTCATCAGGAAGAAGTCTCAATCCTGAATATCTATGCCCCTAATATAAAAGCACCCACGTACGTAAAAGAAACATTACTAAAACTCAAGGCAGACATCAAACCGCACACACTAATAGTAGGAGACTTCAACACTCCTCTCTCACCAATGGACAGGTCAATCAGACAGAAACCTAACAGAGAAATTAGAGAATTAATGGAGGTAATGAAGCAAATGGACTTAACAGACATCTATAGATTATTCCACCCAAAGAGGAAAGAATATACCTTCTTCTCTGCAGCTCATGGAACCTTCTCAAAAATTGACCATATACTTGGTAACAAAGCTAACTTGCACAGTTACAAAAAAATATTAGTAACCACCTGTGTCTTATCAGATCACCATGGATTAAAGTTAGAATTCAACAACAATGCTACCCCCAGAAAGCCTACAAACTCATGGAAACTGAACAGTCAACTACTGAACCATACCTGGATTAAGGAAGAAATAAAGAAAGAAATTAAAGTCTTCCTTGAATTCAATGAAAATAAAGAAACAACATACTCGAACTTATGGGACACTATGAAAGCAGTCCTGAGAGGAAAGTTCATAGCACTAAGTGCCCACCTAAAGAAAACAGAGAAAGCACATACTGGAGACTTAACAGCCCACTTGAAAGCTCTAGAAAAAAAAGAAGCAGACTCACCTAGGAGGAGTAGAAGACTGGAAATAATCAAATTGAGGGCTGAAATCAACAAAATAGAAACACAGAAAACAATCCAAAGAATCAATGAAACAAAAAGCTGGTTCCTGGAGAAAATCAACAAGATTGATAAACCCCTATCCAAACTAATCAAACGACAGAGAGAGAACACGCAAATTAATAAGATCAGAAATGAAAAGGGGGACATAACCACAGACACAGAGGAAATTCAGAGAGTCATTAGATCTTACTACAAAAGCCTGTATGCCACAAAACTGGAAAATGTAAAAGAAATGGACGCTTTTTTAGATAAATACCATTTACCAAAACTAAACCAGGACCAGGTGAACAATCTAAACAGACCTGTAAGTCGCGAAGAATTAGAAGCTGTTATCAAAAACCTCCCTACCAAAAAAAGCCCAGGACCAGATGGTTTCAATGCAGAATTCTACCAGAACTTCCAAGAAGACCTAATACCTATACTCCTTAATGTATTCCACAATATAGAAACAAAAGGGTCATTACCAAATTCCTTTTATGAAGCCACAATTACTCTGATACCAAAACCACTCAAAGACTCAACCAGGAAAGAGAACTACAGGCCAATCTCACTCATGAATATCGACGCAAAAATCCTCAACAAAATACTGGCAAATCGAATCCAAGAACACATCTGAAAAATTATCCATTATGATCAAGTAGGCTTCATTCCTCAGTTGCAGGGCTGGTTCAACATACGAAAATCTATCAATGTAATCCAGCATATAAATAAACTAAAGGAAAAAAACCATATGATCATTTCATTAGATGCTGAAAAAGCATTTGACAAAATTCAACATCCATTTATGTTAAAAGTCTTGGAGAGATTAGGGATACAAGG